CCCAAGAAGATGGGGGTCTCATAGAGGAAGGACTTGTGATAGACCAGGACAAGGCATCATACTAGATGCTCAGGTGTTCGACATCTATGAGACCCTCTCCACGCCGAAAGACTGTTGAATAGCGGACCTTCTTCGAGAGGCGGCAGCGTCCAGATAGGATTATAGATCTGGCTGGAAACATCCTGAGGTACGTGCAATCAAAAGCCTCCAAGTCAGTCTGTACTTAAATGATGTGCACTAGTCCGTCTCATTGACATCCAAATCAACGGGGCCTACGGGTTCGACTTTTCGGTTTACGATGGAGACGACGAGGCATACCGAGAGGGCATGAAATTGGTTGCAGAGAAGATCGTCGAGACTGGGGTCACTTCGTGCGTTGTTGGTAAATCCGCGCCGAAGGAAACAGCTCTACTAATACTGCAGACTGGTCCCAACCCTGATGTGAGCCAGCCCTTCGAAAAATGCGACCTTCCACTGATCGAGAATCCATCAGACTCAAGAGAAGTCTCTGTATCCCAAGATACTGACTCTGCTGCGCCCATATTCTACGCGATCATCGGCCACGCTTCTGGGATGGCACGCCGAGGGACCCTTCATTGATATGGCCTAAACGGGGTGCCCACGCACCTCCGTTTCTGCTCTCTGCCCCTGAGGGCTTTCGATCATTCGAAAGTGCCTACGGATCCGAGAATCTTTTGGATAAAGAAGACTGGCTCATGGACAATGAAGACCAGTGCGGTGTCCGCATATCACTGCGGCACCCGAGATATCAGGTGTAATGGATGCAGTGGAGGAACTGACTAAGAGAGGGATCATCTTCTCAATGGGTCACAGGTGAGTGGGCTTATCCGTCAAGTATTGATAATCGTGAACTGGCTCAGTGTCGCGTCTTCTGAAATTGCCACTGCGGCTGTGATGCAAGGAGCGCGGCTCATCACACATCTTTCAATGCCATGCCTCAACTTCACCACCGAGACCCTTCCATCATCGGGCTGCTCGGTGCATCGCCGCACCTTTCCTCGCTCAATACCGACTTCGCCCCTCCATCGAGTCCTACCGCGACTTCTGCGCTGTCTGGTGTGACGTCCGAAGCATTCGATTACAAGCCGTCGACCGAAAGGGCCCCCACGACCTGAATTGCACCTTGAGAAAGGCCGAGTGGCCGCCATGGCCTTCGAACGGCCGTTCTATGACATGATCGTCGACGGAATTCACTCGCATCCCAACTCTGTCCGAGTACGATCCCTGCATTGTTGAACAAATTACGGTCGCTGACTTTATCTGGTAGCTGGCTTATACAGCATATCCCGCTGGCTGCATCCTGATCACGGACGGTCAGTGCACTGTGAAGTTCTCATGGCCTTGAATCTTATTTGAGACCCGCAGCCATGAAAATCCTTGACCCCAACCTGCGAGATGGGATCCACGAGTGGCGAGATGGCAAGCGGTTCGTGAAGGAAGGGGACAAATTGTATCTGGAAGGCACAACACCTTAGCCGGAAGCGTGGTAACACTCGATGCCTGTGTCCGCAACTTCTCGCGCTTCACCGGCTGCTCACTCGGGGAAGCAATCAAGTGCGCAACATTCAACCCTGCAAGGTGATTGGCTTTTCTTCTCCATGTCATGACTATTCATTGGATCTGCTTGTAGATGCCTTGGCATTGACAACAAGAAGGGAACTTTGCGAGCGGCGCTGATGCCGACCTCACTGTGTTTGATCGGCAAGGTAATGTTGTCAGTACGTGGGTCAAAGGAAGACAGGTGTGGGCCAGGGCCCAGTAATTATTTCTATCTAGAATATGAAATGAAAGTTGTATTTTGTGCATACAGTCCCGAAGTGCGGGTCCAACTCCGAGGAACATCGGCGATCGATCGCACACAATCTAATCTAGCCCGCTTGACTCGGATGTGACCATTAGCATCAACAAGTCACCGGCGATCCTTGACTCAATCCAACCAACCTAAGTCAAGCTCGGATCCAATTCTCAATATTCTGTGCGCCTCGTTACTTGGGGGGCTTCGGCTCCAGTTGAGTGTCCCGACGGTAGCGCGACTTGACTCGGGACATGTCCTTGACAACAGTCAACCGTGTCGCACTGTCCGCGTCTGAGGACTCGGCGCTCGTCAAGGCACTCATCGCGCTGAGCAATGATAGCAAGAAGAAGAGACTCGTCACCTCGTCCAAGTATGCCGCACCAGCGGATCCGTCCATTGAAGTCACCAGCTGGAAGATGAATGAGTTCAAGTACTACGAAGTGCCATCCCCGTTCCCGACGCTCGCACGCGGAATCTTCACGACCGAAGACGGGAACGGAGTGCATCGGATTGTCGCGCGTGGATACGACAAATTCTTCAACGTGGGAGAAGTGGCTGGACTACTGTGCGTCCGCTCAATTTCTTGCAACTGGACCCTTGCTGATGATACAGCTCAGAAACGAGCCTTGGAAGATCACACCACCGGTCCATATACGTTATCTCTCAAGAGCAACGGATGTATTATTTTCATCGCTGCGCTGACGCCGGAGAAATTGCTCATCACGTCGAAACATTCCATCGGACCAGCAACGGATGGGATGAAGGTCAGTCATGCGGATGCAGGAGAGAAGTGGCTGCGCAAATATCTCGAAGAAAAAGGGCGCACGGAATCAGATCTGGCGAATGTGCTTTGGATGAACAATTGGACTGCGGTGGCAGAGGTACGTCTCAGTGGCTGGCCTTGCAACACTACCTCAACTTAACGCGACCAGCTCTGCGACGACTCTTTCGAGGAGCACGTGCTGGGATATCCACCTGAACTCACCGGCTTGCATCTGCACGGCATCAACGAAAGCACGAAGGCCTTCAAGACACTCCCGCACGAGCAGGTCGACGCGTTTGCCAAGGAATGGGGATTCATCACGACAGCCTCCCTCCAGCTTCCAACTATCGCAGCGGTTCGCGAGTTCACGGACGAATGTGCCAAGACAGGGACATGGAACGGCGTTCCCATCGAAGGATTCGTCGTCCGAACACATGTAGGCGAACCCCCCGCTGGCTCTCATCCACGCAACGGGCCACCGTACTCGGTTGGATCGACGTTCTTCTTCAAGGTCAAATTCGACGAGCCGTACATGATGTACCGGGACTGGCGCGAGCTCACCAAGCAGCTTCTCACGATGCGGGGCGGGCCGATGGGGAAGAATCCCATGGCTGTCGGAAAGCTGTCGAAGAACAAAATACGCAGAGCAGAGACCAAGGCATACGTCAACTGGGTCATTGAGGAAATCCAACGAAACCCTACTGCTTTCTTGGAGTACGGTAACAACAAGGGCATCGTTGCCGTTCGAGAGCGATTCTTGGGCAGCGCCGACGGACATTCTGCCAGCCTTGATGGTTCACTTCCACTTTCTACGGCCAAGATTGAGTACGGCAAGACGATCATTCTTCCTGTGGCTATTCCCGGCTGTGGTGCGTTTTACTTTTCATTATCGGGTGATGACGGCTCCAATGGCGCGTAGGTAAAACTGCAGTGTCGGTTGCACTGTCACACATTTTCGGATTTGCGCACACTCAAAGCGACGATGTTCGCGCCAAGAAACCCGCGCCTGTCTTCATAAAATGTGTTCGATCTCCTCAAGAAGCACGACGTTGTTATTGCCGACAAGTCAGTTTTATCTTCGAGAGCTGCCAATTGCGGCTCTGAGCGTGAATTTCCAGAAACAACCACTTGAAGATGCACCGCGAGGCTCTGCGAACGACCGCCGCATCGTTCCCTCAGCCAGTTCGCCTGCTAGCCCTGCACTGGGGACTCGATGACTACCCACCAGCTGAGATCCATCGAATCTGTGCCGATCGTGTCCTGCAGCGGGGCGAAAACCATCAAACTCTGCTCCCGGATGCGAGTCAGGCCCATGAACAAGTGTTGTGGAGCTTCATCACCAAATCTGAGCCTCTGGCATCGGACGAGGTGGACGAAATCGTGGAAATGTCCGCTCACGATGATCTCGAGGCCTCTGTCATCCGTGCTGTGAAAGGCTGCGTGCAGATATTGGGGCTCCCTGAGCCGACACCGACAAAGATCCAGGGAGCACTGGACTATGTCCGCAGATACAAGCCGGCCAAAACGGGACAGGCTCCAACAAAAATCAAAGGAAAGCCGCGGTACTTTGCTTTCCTCCCCGAGATCGCTTTGGAGCCCTTGCTTGAGCCCTTGCTCGGAGGTATCCCGTTCTGGCGTGCGGTGAAGTCTCGCGTGACGAATCGTACACACGTGACTTTAATCCACCAAAGTGCCCTGCCTGGCTTGCAGCGCTTTTGGAATCAGTGCAAGTCTCTGCATGAGCTGAGCACGACTCCGCCGACATTCAAGCTGCAACTGGGCCATGTGGTATGGAATGATCGGATCATGGCCCTCACTGTAGATGCCGTCGCTCTCGAGCAGGAAGGAGCTGGCGGACAGCATGGTGCCGAATTTGTGTCCCAGATACCTGAAGAAGCACGGCAGCGCCTCCATATAACCGTCGCTACACGTGATGGAAGTGTCGCCCCCGTGGAAGCCAAAACGATGGTAGAGAACTGGAGACTGGACCACAGCACCGCTCATTCTTTGCCACTGGGTGATGTGACGGCAACAGGACGAGTCAAAGGACTCCAAGCATGAGCACACAGTTCATAAAAATTGTAAAAACCCCCCAAAAGACAAGAAAATACCACTTCAATCATCCACGTGATCGCGTTTCGGCTTATAGATTAGATGCGGCGATCAAGCGGAGATAAGGAATGGGCTCTGGAGTTTGAATAGGCTCGTCGTGGCTAGCTTGGGTTCAAGGCTTTCTTCAAACTGTCAGCCATTGCACTGCTCAGTGGTAGTCGGCTCCCATAGCGTATCTGCGGAAATGAGCTGGGGTTGAGTATGTTGTGCCAATCTCACGACTGCCGCGGTGGTGACTCACGGACGGTCCAGTCTCCGTCTGGCCAGCACGCCGTAATGTCTGGCGTCAATCTTAGACACCTAGACACCGATGCATCGCGGCCTTTCTGGCTCTGCGGTGGATCTGAATAAGAGTTTAAAAGATAGGGAGCCCCAACGTAAGTATAGCCCATTCAGTCGTGATCATGGGATTGGGGTTCTTTCTCTCTCCGTTTCCCTCCACCATGTACGCCCAACACCGTCGGCACACCCAGACATGGCTTCCCGAGTCTACGCTCATCTTCCCCTCACCCAACGCCGAGCTCCTTTCCGATGACGCCGAGTCTGAATCCGAGGACTCGTTCACACTACTTGAGGGTGATAGCTCGCTATCGCTGGACTCTGGACTTTGGACCAGCGCCACCGCAGAGTCAGAGACATCTCCATCACCCCCGAGCCCCCAGTCGGTCCATCCTTCGCGCTCCTCTCCTCCAAGCCCAGCGCCCAAAGTCCAGCCACGCATCTTCCTGTTCTCGCTTCTGTGCCATCTCTTCGCGGACGAGAGCACGCGACATCTGCTGGAGCCATGCCCTGGAAGCGAGCCTGTCGCCTCCTCACTCTTTCCTGGTCCAGCTCTCGCGCTGCCAGTGGAAGCTGCTCCCGAAGAAAACCGAGGACCGCGGCGTCTTCGAGCACAAACATCACCATATCGTTCGCTTCGCGATGGGCTAGGAACGATGGCGGACTCGGAGGTCACATTCCAGACTCTTTGAGCCTCTTCGGTCCAGATGCTAAAACCTTTCTCGTCCCTCTATCTCTTTCTTCTCTCTGGGCTCTCGTGTGACGCAGTCAGAAACAGTGTATTCTCATACAACATGGACATCCCATACACAGTACTCGCAGTAACAAATGTAAACCACACCCACCATGTCTGCGCTTATCCACAACGTCGATGTTCTTGCTGAAAGTGTCGAGTCCGCTCTGAACGTGTCTGCTTTCCGCAAACTCGGTGCGGTCAAAAGAAGGAACTTCGCCGTGGACCTTGCGCTGATCGCACTGGGATGCCGGTGCGCCGCACGACCTGGCCCGATCCAAGTCCGTCGATGACGCGCGCATTTATAGCCCGGCTTATCTCGTGGATGCCATCGCAGCTCGGGATCCGGAAACCTTGTACCCCGGTCTTCTCGAAGACCTCCGAAAAGTACGCCAACCACGCATTCTCTGCTATGCACGTCTCCGCTCATCGGCACATGTGAAGAGCCACGCGGAATTTCGCGCGGTGGAGCATGTCTTTGAAAGCAGCTCACAGCAATCGTTCTTCGTGAACTGCGATACGCTGCGGCGACACCTCTGCGATGGTTTGCTGAGCGATGTCGCGTTCATACAGCTTCAGCAGAGCCCGCTCCTGGTGCGCCTCGACTCGGAGTCGTGATGCCTGCGAGATCCCATTGGCTCATGAGCACATAGATGCACGAACCCCCTCCCGAAATCCAAGACACGATTGAGGCGCTGCTCGCCAGTACACCACCTCGTTGGACCGACGATCTCGACCCGCAGACGATCATCCCCGTTGCAGCGATCCTGCTGGGATACCCCGTAGCATACGTTCCTGTGGAGATGCACGGCGCGTTTCTGGCGGGCGTGCCGCTGGACGTCTACTCGTGCATTGCGTGCAACGGAACAACTCTAGACGGGCACACGTTCTTGAAGTTCTCCTGCCCGGCAGATCTCGCAGTGGCTCATCCTGAATCTCTTGGGGTAAATTCGATCGTGGAGAAGTTGAAGCGGCGATTCAAGAGTATATTAGAGGAGGAAGGTTTGTCGATGACTGTAGAGGTGACGAGGGAAATCATGGACAGAGTTGCGTTGTAATAGTGCTGACATCACTTGCGATGGTAGATATTGATGGATGCCTTCTCACGCCCACTCTTCTTTTTTTTTTTTTGCGGCACGTTTGGAATAACACCTTGAGACCGACATAGGTCCATCTCAAGAATGTCCGTGAATTGTGTGACGTAGGAACCAGGACCTCGTCGGCAGTCTGCAAGGTAGGAATGCATTTACGCACGAACGGCAAACGCCGAACAGTGTGGGACTCGATCACCTCGTGATAATACCCACTAAACCTCCTGAAAATACGAGACTTTCATTGGGGATTGAACTCCTGCTTTCACAGGACCCAACGACTTCTGTTTCACACGGAAGCCAGGACCGATGGTGCCGTTAGACCAGGGCGGCCCTCGCCCACTCTTCTTGGACGGCGCAGTCCTGTTCAAGCCTGTCAGGACCTATCTAACATCGAGTCGCATATGTCCCCATCTACGTGATGATCATCTTCTGCTGCGTCAATTGCACTTCGAAACAGTCAAGTGGTGTCATTCTGCACTCACTATGGCGTATTTTCGACCGGTCTTGCGACTCTTATCGAACTGGAGGTGCAGCCTGCATGTCACGCCCCTCTGTTCCGCCGGCAAATGTCGAATTCAAACCTCGGTCGTGAGATCCCCGGCCCACCGCCCGCTGCTTATTACCGCCACAGGCTTGGTCAGCGCTTGCACGTGCGGCGCTTTCTCATCCTCACCATGGGTCACGTCGTTGACGGATTCGCGGCGAGGTTCTGGCGTCTTCTGACTGCTGACTACACCGAGGCTATTTAAATGGCCTCTCGCTGCGTCCAGCCGTCAAGCACACATCCACTCGCACCCACCTTTACCTCACACCAGCCATGTCGCATCCCGTCGATATCGAATCCATTTCCCAGTGGAACCAGGTCATGGAAGCCGCCGAAGCCGCAGGAAAGACCGTGATTGTTGATTTCAAGGCGGCGTGGTGTGGCCCCTGCAAGGTTCGTGTTTATTGTACATCTGCGATCCAAGATGGCCGACCGCGCCCCTGCACCTCCTGCAGATGATTGCACCACGTTTCGAAGCACTGGCCGCGCAGAATCCGCACGTCCAATTTGTCGAAGTGGACGTGGACGACCAACCCGCGATCGCCCAGGCCCTGTGAGTGACGCCGCCGTGCACGTGTCAATTTCCCGGACATCATCTGAGTTGTTCGTCTCTTTCTAGCCAAGTCTCTGCTATGCCGACGTTCTTCGCCATCAAGGACAAAGCTGTGGTTGCAATGGTAGGCGCTTGATCCACCGACAGCTGCCGCCGATTTCTTGACCGTGTCAATCAGGTTCGGGGCGCGGATACGCAAAGTCTGACCCGCATGATCAAGCAGCACGGCGGTCCCAATCCCCCTGTTCCGACGGAGAAGACTGCACCAGCAGCTGCAGCAGAGCCACAAGAGTCTGAGCCGGCAGTAGCCAAGGCGTGATGCGTCCTGTCCATATCCTTAGCATACTTTGCATCCCATCTTCTGTATCAGTAGTTCCCGCTCTATATATGTACCGTACCATTGGCGCCTGCTGTGTGCGCCGACTGCTGTTGAGCCATCAGATTCACTGTCTGAGACGATCAAGTACTGGGCGGTGTCTTTGGCAGATGTGCTACCGCTGTGTGTTGATCCCGCGCATGCTCGACAGATAAAAGCAGAACAGCACGCGCCGTCTTCCACATTCCGATGTTTGTTCCACTCGTCAGTACACGCAGGCTATCTAAGCGCCGTACCAAAGGAGGCGGTGGCGCAGAGGAGGGGGGGAGCACCGGCGCTGGATCGTCAGAGAGCGGCTCCGCGGGAGGGAGCGCAGATGCGGGGGGCAGCATCAGTAGCCCCAGCTCTGGATCCTCATCAAGTCACGACTCCCCAGGAGGGAGCACCAACTCGGCAGGCGAGGCTGGCCCTTCGTTTCCCATTAGCAGCGGGGGTGGTTCGGGAAAGTCAGTTTCCCGGCACTGCAAACCCTTGAAGGAGGTGTGGGCTGATCTGTCGACAGAACGGCAGTGCCGTACGGAGGCGGGGGCGGGCAGGTCGTCACCATCGCTGCTGGCCAGCCGTTTTCCGGGCGCCAAGAAGGAGGCGGGACGCGCGGTGACATTTTCGGTTCGAGGTGCGGCAAGTTTCGCTTTGCTCTTCTGTCGTGCGGGAGATGAACGGGATAAAACCAGAACGTATGGAAGCGGATATCCCGGGACGTCTGGCGCAGATGTGTCTGGGCGCGGATTCCCGTATTTCTTTTGGCCTTTGAGCTTCGGGCGCCCTCACCTACACTCAAACCAAGAAGTGCGTCTGAATCATTCCTCTGCGTTCCCTGATCGCATGAGCTTATAACGTCGCAGTATGGACGGGCCGACAACAGCAGCCGGCCTGGGGGAGCGATGAGCACGGCGGCCTTCCAATCCAACGGCCCGAACGTGACTGTCTTCCGGATCCTCTCCGACAGCACCACGACCAACGCACTCATCACCGCCTTGCAAGCCAATTGCTCGTCCTCGCTTGTTCCCTCCACAAGCGTTACCGCGTCGCCGTACAACGAGACGTCGACAGCACCACCCCAGCCAGAGCAGGTGATCCAGTATTACCGCGCGAGCAGCATCGCTCTGAGCCTGGACGGATACAACAACTCTGCCGTCTTCCAGGGCGCGGGCGCCCCAGACACTGCCCTTCCTGCAGGAGTCGACACGAAGCTCTTGGATTGCCTGAACCAGACGATCGGGCTCAGCGCACCCTTGGTGCTCAACGTCGACGCAACTGCGTCCAGTAGCGCCGGAGAAAACGCCAACGGCGGGCAGCAGGCAGGGATTTCGTTTTCGGGCTTCACGTTGCTGCTTGTTACATTTGTGATATCATTATGTAATACGTGATTACTCGACCTGAACGCTGATGATTTTGATGTCCTCGTAAGGCTTGTCCGCGTGGCTGGTTTTCACATTCTCGATGTTGTGCAGCACTTCCAGCCCAGAAATCACGCGACCAAATATAGTATGCTTTCGATCGAGCCAGGGAGTGAGTGTCGTGGTGATGAAAAACTGGGATCCGTTGGTATTGGGCCCGGCGTTCGCCATGCTCACAGTATACGGCCTGGAAACGACAGGGTCAGAAACATACCCCAGCTCGAGCTAAAGAAAACAGAACTCGCCTGTCATGTTTGAGATCCTCCGAAAACTCGTCCTCGAATTCGCGGCCCCAGATGGATGTCCCCCCAGTGCCGTCTCCCAACGGGTCTCCGGTCTGGATCATAAACTTGGGTATCACACGATGGAAGATGATGCCCTCGAAGAACCCGCTGCGGGCGTGCCCCACGAAATTCTCGACGGCTTTCGGGGCCTGCGCAGGGAACAGTCGCATGTGCATGTCGCCCATGCTCGTGTGTATGGTAGCTGAGTTGGCGAGCGGAGACGGCCCGGACGACCCGACCACAGCAGACGTCGCCACATTCTGCTCTTCGCGCGTGGGCCGCTCGTTGAACACATCTCTGTCACCTGATTTGGTATCCCTGGTAGTCGATGTCAGCCTCGGCATTCGACGCTACCACGTGCCACTCACTCTGGCTCTGACCGAGTGAACATGTAGAACCGCGCTCGTTTGTAGCCCGTGCAGAACAAAGTCGGGTCCCGAGCAGCCTTGGTAGCCAGAATCGGGTTGGACGAGGCCGCCATCGTAATCGTGGTCAAACCTCTCTTGGCGGGAGCACCTTGATACAATGACACGTTCAAGAACCGCACCGACTCGTCTTTGCCCAGCAGTCGACACACGCGATTGGTCACCGTGTTGACAACTGTCATAGTAAGCAGACGATCCCTGAGAGTCGCAGAGGGCGCGCACCTTTGAGCCCGAGCAGCGTCGGATAGAGCACGAACGCGCCACTCTCATCCCAGACAACATTGCTCCAGCGACCAGGTATGTGCCCATCTGGCCCCGGCAGCTCCAGCTCTTTCTCAACTGCAAGACGACGTCCGAATTCCATGTCGTCGACCTTGTAGAGCGCCGTCCCGGCCTGCTGCATCTCTTGGATCGCCTGCAAAGACTCGTCGTATCGACGGGTCAGTTTTCCCGTAAGGAAAGAAAACACCCGGATCTGGCGGTCGGGCAAAGAAAAAGTAGCGAATGACGAAGAGTCCGGACTGAGCGTAATGCATGTCGGAGTTGCTTTGGACTGGAGAGGCGTTTCAGCATAATGTACAACCCGCACATGGAACGGGACGTGCCTTTTTGAACTCATAGAGATCTGTTTCCGACTTGTAGGCCCACATGCCGGGGACGTTTTTCGGAGCTTCAAATGGCTCTGTGGGCCGCCAGTACTCGACAAAGCCTTGTTCGTCAGCCGAAACAACCGTATCATAGCGATCACTGTACTGCAATCGTTCGTCAGACCGTGTCGAGCGACTGCACCACGGACTCACAGTCATGACATGGACTGGGGAGCGATGCAGATTAGAGATCGTTTCTAGCGGCGTCTCATTGCCTCGGCCGTCATATAGACGAATGGTTCCCGAAGATGAGTCCGAGCTGAGAGAATATCAGTTCCTGCAAGCCTGTCCGTCACGGGCAAGAAGATACTCACACGGCAAGCAATCCTTGTGCTTGACCACGCCGATGGACCCAGCAACACGAGTGCGGTGTGTAGCCCAATTGAATGATATTGATCATGTCTGCATATATGAATGAGGCAGGTCTGACGAGGCAGGAGAAAGTTCCTCACGCACCGAAGTTGACCACATCGAACACCTTCGCAGTTCCATCCTCCGAAACGGTAGCAAAGAGCTGCCCGTCAGCACTGGCCGAGCCTGCAGTGATGGGGGTAAGGTGGGCGCGGTAGTGCTTCACAAATTCGATGCCCGCGTCCTGCTTCTTCCACAGCTTCAGGTGTCCGTCGATCGAGGTCGTGATGATGAAATCCGTCCTGGAAACCAGGATGAGCGCCTGGATGTTACTTCAGAGCGGAGAGATCACGAACTTGGTTACGAAAGTAAAGCTTATGGTATCCCGGTGCATGAAACTCTTGTAGTATTGGTCTGGAAGGTATCAGACTGCAGTCAGGAAACGCGGAACGAACAGGCTCACCGGCGTCAGGAAGATGGTCGAGGTACAACTTTTCATGAGGGAGAACTAGGAAAGATGGTCTATATTCCTTGAGGCTTAATAGAGGGGATGCGGATCCGAAGGCGCACCTTTTCTCTTCTTTTTGACCGTCCCTTCCGCGTCCGCTGGTAAGGGCATGGGACCAAGTTCATCGTCAGAATCTTCTTCCGCGTCCATATGCTTAGATGCACCGGCCCCCGCCTCCACGCCGTCGTCTGTTCGGGCGCGTTTCCCGAGTACAGTTGCCTCTTCAGCGTCACTCATCGCAGGTGAAGTCAGCAGTTGAGATCAACACGAACGACACAGCCACCAATCAGTTCTGTGGGTGCGGCTGAGCGCTATTATTATCACCCAAGTACTTGCTGCGTTCACACTGTTAATAGTCCGTTATTTCCATTATTTCCTCCGGAGTCTCCCCAGAGATTCTATCACCATGCGAACAAGCGGTCCGCTCTGCCCATGTGACGAGTGGTCCCATGGCTCCAGTGCACCCGGGCCGCCTGTCATATAAGTAGGTCCGTGGCGGGACGACTGCCCCGCCATCACGCCCAGAATGCGCGCCTTTTTCGTGTCCTGTCTCCTGGCTAGCGCTGCCGTCGCGTCTGCACACCGCGTGCAATTCATCGCCGCGGCCAACCGCACGTCGCCCATCTCTCTCAAGGTTGCCCTTACTGCTCACTCGTGTGTTCGTGAGCTAGACTGACTGACCGCTGCGCTGTAGGCTTCGCCTGTTTGTGGGAAGCTCTCGGACAAGACGTTCACCGAGGCGAATACCGGAGTCAAGTTGAATGCGACAAAGTGAGCAGCTTCTCTCACCATTTCTGTCTTTCATGCTCATGCCGGCTTGTCTCGCAGAACCGTCATCTCATTTGGAGACTCCTGGTCGTCCAACGGCTCCAACGGTCAGTCAATATTATGAAGCAATGGTCCGGTCCATGATATTTGGAGCCAGGAACCATCCCTTTTGCGCCAGTCGTCTTTCCTCCGAACCCTAGCGCGGGCGCTCGCGCCGGGAATAACTTCCGCGCACGGGCCAGCAACGGGTACACGTGGGTCGAGGATCTGGCGAACACCGTCGGCGCGAAACTGATCGACTACTCTGTCGGCGGCGCCGTAACTGATCTGCAAGCATGGAATTCCACAAGGAAAGGAGTCGTGAGTGGGCTGTCCCAGTCGTCTATGGAATATCTGCCGAAACGAGAGCCAGACGTTCACGTCTGATAATCTGTTGCGGACGGATTTCGTGCATGAGACTGCGCTCTTCCTCAAGCAGGGCCATTTCCTCGCCGATCTGAACCCCGACAGCACTCTTTATACTGTTCATTTTGGTACGCAGGCGGCCTGATCTTCCTGGAGCCGTGCGCTGACTAGTATACTTCAGGTATCAAGTAAGCTGACACAGGAATAGACTAAACTTCGTTTGCTGACCGAGTGTAGTGACAATGCCCAGTTCTCTGCGGTGCGCATCATCCAAAGCATAGCCTGGGCCCTTTGCTGACGCGATATCTGCAGCAAGGCGGTGATTGGGACCTGGCCGCGTCAAGTTTCGTAAGCAGCTTCGACTGTGGGTAGGGTCTATCGACTCACGGTCCTGTCCTCAGCTCGAACAAATCAGCATCTTGCAAGCAAACGGGGCCAAGAACTTCTTGATTCTCTGGGTACGGCGGGTGCAAACGATTGTCCCGTCCAGCGGTTGACCGGCTGAGCGTACAGGTCTACTTCCAAGCCAATGTCACCACGACATTCCAAAACACAGTGCAACAGGGCCTGTTCGCGGCTCACCGTCAGAATGGCACCAACTTCGCAACAGTGAATCTCTTTAATCTCTTCAACGCCATCAACTCGGACCCAAGCGATTGGGGATACACCAACTCGACCTGTTTGGCTTCGCAGAATTTCACGACATTTGGCTGTGACGACCCAGACAGATCCATTTTCTACATTCGTAAGCATCATTAGTGTTTGTTTTCTTGTTTCTGACCATCCACATCGCACAGCGGGCCATCCCTCAGCGACGGTAAGCTGCCACACTTGCTGAGAGAGAGCAAACTCTGACTAATTATTTAGACGCACGAAATCATCAACGAGTACACCATCCAGGCCATTAATCAATGCGTGTAGCAAAAGAAAAGTAGTCAATACATACTCCTCACAGCTGATAAGATGAGATTCCGCCATGATAAGATGGGTTGCGATAAGATAGATCGCAAGAGGCTGTGCGCTTGACTGACCTTGACTCGTACACTCTTGAATGAGCCAAACGTCGATGGACACTCAGCCAAATCCTTCTCTCTCCTCAGCAACCAAACCCGATTCTAAGAAGGGCAAGTCCAAACCAAAGCGAGACAACGTTCAATCGTCGGAAACATCGAGCAACGGCCCTCGTTCCGAGAAACTGAGAGGGCTTCCGAAAGATTCTCCTGAAGTCAGGATATCCAAGACCTTGTCCTGGATCCTTAGGCATGGTGCAAAAAGCGAAGGACTTGCCATGAGGCCCGATGGTTATATCAAGGTTACAGATCTGGTTAGTTTCTCGGAAGGACTCCTGGTGAACTTCACCGACGGCTGCCTAGCTCGCGAACCCCAAGCTCAAGACATTAGATCTCGAAAAAATCCAAGAGATCGTCAAAGCTGATTCCAAGCAACGATACAGTCTCATACAGGAGGGAGAGTTGTGGTGGATGAAGGCGAATCAGGGACATTCCATCAAGGCATGCTTCTTCTCGCTCCTGTTGCAAATCCACCCGTTGTGACAACCTCATTGTAGACTGTGAAGCTTGAATTGAAACCCATCCTCTCCGTCGATGATATTCCGTCCCGTATCGCGGTACACGGGACTACCAAAGCGGCATGGGATTCCATAGGTGCGTCCTGACCGCTCTCATTTGGGCTGACCCAACATCTCCTTCAGCCACGCAAGGGCTCTCTAAAATGAAGCGCAACCATATCCACCTAGCGCAAGGCGTCGCTGGTCAGAACGTCGTCAGCGGTAGACTTGTTTGGTGTGGGGTCACATGCTTTACGCTCATCCTCCAACAGGAATGCGGCAATCCTCGCAAGTGCTCATCTTCATTGACGTGCAAAGCGCTCTTAAAGACGGGATCGCTTTCTTTCTTTCTGATAATGGCGTAGTTTTGACAGAAGGAGATGCTGCTGGGTTCTTGCCGTCAAGGTATTTTACGACAGTCCAAACGTCACAAGGAGTTGCGCTTCCCGGATGGGAAGAGCGTTCCCTGGCCGAGAAACTAGGAACAGTCGCGATAGACTAAATGTAAACTCGTCTCTGGCATTGTATCGTAGCCTTCATCCGGCTTAGGCTGCTCAACGCGCCTGCCAAATCATGTGACCGCGATCGCGTTCAGCAGAGTCCACCATGCGATCTTCTGCTTCCCATCTCCCTACGCCATCCAGTGTGTCCCCTGCCCCTGCCGGCCCAGCTCCGGCGTCCACTTTTTTCCCTTCGCCCTTCCGCTTTCATGATGACACTCCTCCAGCAAAGCGACAACGCAGATCCTCCACCCCGCGCGTGTCGATGTCTGCCACCCCGGACGAAGTGAACCAAGAGCGTGCGGCCTCGACCATGCGCATGATCAACCTGTGGTCGGGTCTGGCCGAAAAGTACTCCCGCCGCATAGATGAAGACGACATTGTCGATCTTGTCACGGGAGAAGTCGTCAAAGACCGCGGCGTGTTGACCGCTGAGTCGCGGTGGGACTTTGGACGATTCTACGCTCCTTCTCCGGGTGAGGAGAACACGCCGACGGGTACGGACGAGGATGAAGACGGAGAGAAGGAGGAGGATGACGAAGAGGATGACTTTGACGAGCTGGATCTGCTGGACCGGAGCCCCCGAAAGCAGCAGACGGAGGAGATTTCAATCCGCAAGCTGGCTATGGAGTTCCCTCTGCTCAATAGAACGGACCCGGTCACGGACTCCTGGGACTTTGAAGAGTTCATGAAGGCCGAGAGACAGAGACGCGAGGCAGGTGACGAAGAAGATGAGGATGAGGGGGAGGATGAGGAGGAACGAACTGGCAATGATACCCAAGACGAAAAGGACGATGAAGGCACACTGGAATCGAATGGTTCGCCTCCCCCTGCTCCGGCTCGGTCTCCGTCGAGGCGACAAGAGGCCGAGAACTCCGACGACTTCGAGTCCGGGGACGAACTGGATGCATTCAGCTCATTGCCTGCAACACCACGTGCTGGTGTCCCCGTTTATGAACTCTCTGAAGATGGTTCGGACCAGGAGACGCCCGAACAAGAATATACCCCGCCGACACCCATTCGTTCCCTGCAAGACATCATCCACACCCAGTTGCAAACACCCCCTCTCTCTCATGCATCATCAGTCGGAGAAGATGGGCTGACTGTCTCCCCTCGAAAAGACACCGCAGTACCGAAGCTTAAAGCTCAGTCCCGCAGACGATCTCATGGTCCAACTTTTATACCTAGCCGCTCATCGAGTCCTCCTGCGGTTGAAGACATCTCCATTTCCCGCGGTCGCAGCCTTCATAAGGAAGGCCTCGACCGGCCGACACGAGCCAAAAAGTCCAACTTGTACTACACTCTCAAGGAAGCCAGCACAGAATCGTCGACACCTCCCCAATCAGTCGAGAGGGCCAAGTCTAACAGAAAAGCCGGTACGCCATCACCGACAAAGCGGAAAGAACGGTCACCGAAGGACCCGGAGGACGATTTAGGTGCGATATTATAGCTGCTACATGACTATCAACTGATGCCCACTCAGTCTTCCACACGCCTCATCGGCGTATTGATCGCAAAGGCAAGGCAAGGATGATTGAGCCCGTCTTTGAACCAGAAGAGGATACCAGAAGAGCGTCGGACTTGCCCAGCATCCCGACTACACCACTGAAACAATACTACGAGTTCCCTCCTCCCAGCACGAAGAAGAGGAAGAGGAGATCATCGACGAGCCAGCTGCCTGAACTGAGTAACAGATTTCCATCTGTTCTGCACGTTCCAGACCCAATACGGCGCACAGATATCCCACCGCTTTCTTCGCCAGGACCTTCAAAGAGCCGACATTCACGTTCCAGAGACAGAATGTCTAGGAAACCCGAAACTGACTCGGAGTCGGAATCAGGGCCAGAGCCATCTCACCAATCGGACTGGCAGCCTTTTTCTGGGCAAGCATCATATAAACCTTTCCCGGGCGGAAATGATGGTCGCCCGGTTACACCATTGCATGATCCTCGGGCTCAACTCATCATCTCGCAAGCGATGCAACAGGCAATCCACCAGCTCTCGTCCTTGTATTCGGGCGCCTGGGCTGCTCCGCTGACCACGTCCCGCTCTGATCCATACATCTACTCGACTCCGACGCATCGGGCGCGAAGGAATTCACATGTGTTCGATTCCGGTGCATCTTATGCCACGTTGCCACCTTCGTCCCCGATCTCCGAAACATCGTCTTCTCCGGTCCGACGACAGGGATCATTGGTTGCTCGCAGCCGCTCTCGAGGTCGGCGGGTGAGTTTTGCGCTCAAAACTAGGTACGGGGAGACCTATGTCCGCGCTCAATCTGAGCCTGAATCTGAAACGGACGAGACGGAACCTGCGCTCGATTCATCCCCATCTCGTCGAGCATCCCGCTCTAGACTGGGAGGACGAGCTCACACACCCGGGCCATCAAAACAGCGATGATCTGCATAGAGTTGTTTTGTTCTGCTGTACTTGATTGTTTCCATAGGCCAAGTAATTTGTAGGGCCCAATCTGTTGACATTCTAAGGGTGCTGCAAATATATCACCACGAAAAGTAGCGAACATGTCGCGCCATCAGTGATGCCCAATCAGTGATGTTCATCCTTTTGTTCCACATCCAACAATGAGCGCCTCCGTGTTTGGGGACCAGCAGAGCACGATGTATTCTTCTTCCGAATATATAAAAGGCTATGTTCCGAGCGTATTCGACATTCTTCTTCTTCCCTCTCTTTTTATCTTCTCAAGGCCGTGCCTTTTCACGCTCACTGGTGACCGATGCGATTCTACACAGTCTTCTCCCTCCTGGCCCTGTCCCGCGCCGCCGTCATTCCTTTCCGCCACTCCGCCCGCCAAGGCGATGCTAAACTCGTCGTTGCCCACCACATGGTCGGGAACACCTTCCCCTACACCGTCCAAGACTGGACCGATGACATGAACCTCGCCCTCGCGTCCGGCCTTGATGGCTTTGCGCTGAACGTCGGCCCTGATGATTTCCAAGTTACGCAGACCGCCAATGCCGTCCAAGCCGCCGAGGCGCTGGGCAACTTCAAGCTATTCTTCTCGCTCGATATGTCGTGCGTCCGATCTGTTATCTCTTCGGATCACCCGTTTTGAGTATATGCCCCTGATAGCGTGTTGCCCTGCGCGACTGTTGCGGACGGCGCAGCCCTCCGCAGCCGTGTGCTGGGACTTGCTGCGTCAGCGAGTCAGATGCAGTTCCGCGGCCGCGCGCTCGTGTCCACCTTCGCCGGAGAATCCTGCACGTTCGGGCAGGGCACCCCGGCCGATGGGTGGAGGTCGCAGTTCGCGCAGAGCCCGGACCTTGCTGGCAAGATCGTGAGTCGCGCTTTACCTCCTCCCCACCTGCTCCCCAGACTGACGAGTGCAGTTCTTCATGCCGTCCTTCTTCATCGACCCCGCCACGTTCGGGACTTTCAACGGTGTCATGGATGGTGGATTCAACTTTAACTCTGGATGGCCCATCCAGGTGAACACTGGCTTTGCCGCGGGTGTGACATCGGACCTCGCTGTGAGCGGGCCGGAGGGCACGAACGCGCTGAATCAGTTTATTGGATCCAACGCCACGGATATCTCCTTCAAACAGGGTCTGGCTGCTGCAACCCCGGCTCCGGCATACATGGCCGCTGCTGCTCCCTGGTTCTTCACGCACTTTAGCCCGCAAACGTTCAACAAGAACGTGCGTGGTCATGTGTCTCTGACTCTGCTTGAAACTGACTGCGAGACTCACAGTTTGTATTCCTCGCTGACCAGCACCTGTATGCAAGACGCTGGGAGACCTTGATCGCTGAGCGTGACCAGGTCGACTTGGTTGAGGTTGTTACGTGGAATGAGTGAGTGCACGAGTCGGACATGCGCTGCTAGTGTTAACTCTGTCCCTTTGCAGTTACGGAGAGTCTCACTACATTGGCCCCGTGAAGGGCGCTCTGCCCACTGGCAGTGAAGTCTGGGTCAACAACTTCCCTCACGATCGTGAGTCTGATTTCTACCCGTGCGATGAGACCAGGTTCTGAAGACAGGCGCAGCTCTTTTGAAGATTACGCAATATTACGCAACCCAGTTCAAGACTGGCACGGCCCCAACGATCGATAAGGATGAAATTTTCATGTGGTCGCGCCCTCATCCGGCGCAGGCTCAGGCCCCCGATCCAGTCGGGCCGCCGACGACCTTCCAACTGACCCAGGACAATGTGTGGGCGCTTGTGATGGCCACTGCGCCCGGGACTGTGACCTTGACGACTTCGCCGACGAACTCGCAGACGTTCCCGGTTGTTGCCGGTGTCAACAAGCTGTCTATCCCCATCACACCTGGTGGTACACTGTCGGGTACAGTGGACCGGAACGGACAGACTGCTGTGGCGCTGAATGTGGCGCCGAGCACCTTCACATTCGACGGTGCCCCCCAGACATTCAACTACAACATCTTTGTCGCCAGCGCCAGTGCATAAGCCATCTCGTGCTGTTATATATTGATATTTATTCTGTAACCTGTACTTGACTCGTGTACTTGTTGTACTGGAATACGAGCGTGATTCGAGAAGCAATTCGGGTGTGTGTGTGTTTTACGAGGTTTTCATTCCGAGCACCTTGCCGCCTGCGATCTCGGACTTGTCGAAGATGCTCTGCGCCTCTGCTGCGGCTTTCCTGCCACTCTCGATCATTCCACCGAATGTGGGGCCCATGCGATTCGAGCCGTCGTGTTCTGCCAGCTCCATGCCAGCCATGATCAAGCCTGGGATCACTTGCCGAGTTCCGCTGCCATCTTCGTGAGTACCTTCCACAGAGAATTCCACGACGCGCCTACTTGACTATGGCCGGTTCCGACTCGTTCATGTTAAGCTAAGACACGAGTCAATCAACCTCGCTGCGAGAAGAAGACGGCGAAAAGTCACCCCGCGCATATTGCCGAGCTCTTTGTTGAGACCCATGCTCACGAGCCGTTTCGCCGAAAACGCGCCCATCGGCCCGTCGTGGCCCGTAGTACTGACCACAACTGGCGCAGTGATCGTGGCCGGGTCCATGCATGATTGAGTATCGTGGTTGAGGGCAACTGGACGCAAAAGATGAAACCAGCCGTAGCCCAGAAATATAGCGACCGGGACCCACCTAGTGTCCAGTTGGTTACGACACCGGTCACTCGCGCATGGCCTTCGAAGTCCGTGCTGGTCATCAGATCCTCGACGGCCGTGGCGTTGAAAAGAACGACGTTGGGGAGCGCGAGGACTTTGGAGAGCAGCGTCGCCGTGAACAGCGCGGCGTGCTTCACCACGACGAACGACCCTTCATCCTCGAACGGGACTCCGATCTCCCGCAGGAAGCTGTCCGCCGGCTTTCGGATGACCTGGAGGAGAAGATGTTTGTCTCATTGCGTGCAGGGCCGCGTTATTGCCCAGGTCTCTCACCATGGCGCTCATCAACTGCCCGCCAAGCCAGGCTCCACCCCCAGGTGCGACATTGGCTTCGATGCTATATCAGACAGTCAGAACGCTCCAACCTCGGAAAAACGACCGACATGGTGATTTTAAGGTCAGGGCGCTGAGTGCCGAGAGTGTATGCGCAGGACAGTCCTGCACTGCCAGCCCCAACGATCACGACGTCAGAAACAGCTCTGTCGTACATGCTGTCGAAGTAGCTGCAAGCGAAATGTCGGGGTCAGCGGAGGATAGAACACACAGACTTTGGACCGCACCGCTTGATCATTGCTCGGGACACTTGCGCCTCCTCGATGGGTGCGAACTGGAACGAGACATCTGGGGCACCGCCCTTGCCACTGACGCTGTTGCCGACAAGACGGAAAATGGATGAGTGGGTTTCGGTTGTTGCAGTTGAAGACATCTTTGAGGACACTGGCCCATCAAGCCTGAGCCATTTATACGCTCTCAGTCCTTCTCAGGGAGTGCGAGGACCAGAATTAGAACCAGCCGGTCGGTAAAGTTCCGGACGAATATTACAGCTCCCTTGACGCGTCTCGCTTTGACTTCATTGGTGACGAGGTGGGGACTGAAGAAGTTGGGAGTCGACAGAACGTTCGAAGAGGATCAATCCTTAATAGACCAAGCCGCAGAAGTAGCACTATTCTTGAGGTCAACAGACTTGAAATCAGCGTGCTTGCAGGTAGGAATGTCAACGGCAGCACCAGCCTCAAGGCCACAGTCAGACAGAGACTCGAAGGAGAGGCCGCGGCCGTCGCGCGGCCGATCAAGTTGTGTTTCATTACGTACCAACATAAGCAGCGCCATCAAAATAAGATAAAGCGGATCACCTGGGCGCTTGCTTATTATTCGACTAAGCTTGACGCAAACAACCACGCCAGCAGGACGACGGCTCATTATCCACCTGCCACGCCCATCGATCGTGAGCGCAGCGTCCCTCAAGGATGCACATTCAAGCCCTCATCTCACCCAGACGCAGAATGCAGTCCCAGAACTTCATGATTGTCGACGATCCGCTGTCCCTAGACCGGATCCGAGGCGTTCTGACGCGTCTCGAAGACACTATCATATTCTCTCTCATTGAGCGAGCGCAGTTCGCCCAGAATCCCCGCATTTATCTCCGCGGCGCGTTCCCTGAACTGGCCGCCGACGGATTTGCGGGCAGTTGGCTTGAATGGTTCCTCAAGGAGACGGAGAGTTTCCACGGTAAGCCCATGCCCTTGTTTAGTATGCAGATTCTAATATCCTCCATCCCAGCCAAAGCAAGACGGTACACTAGGTGAGGACGACTGCCCGAGTCTGACAGGCACAATGGCTCATTCTCCGTCTAAGTCCGGACGAGTACCCTTTTACTCCATCGTCCGAGCTCCCGCACCCGGTGCTCCCTCCGCTCAAGTTCCCGGAAATCCTCTACCCCAACAGCGTCAACGCCAACGCGTCCATCCTCGCCTTCTACACGCGGACCATCGTGCCGCGCATCACACGCCGCGCCACAGCGGCCCTGGCCGCCGGGAAGCGCGCGCGCGGCATCACCGGTGACGAGGAGTTCGAGGAGGACGGCAACTATGGCAGTGCTGCGACGATTGACGTCGAGGCGCTGCAGTCGATCAGCAAGCGCGTGCACTATGGTGAGCGTAATCGTCTAGTCTACTCTTTGCTGGGTTATCGAATCTTTCAATCCAGGTAAATTCGTGTCTGAATCCAAGTTTCAAGAAGACCCAGCGGCCTTCATACCCCACATCCAAACTCGCAACACTGCAGCGCTGGAAGCGTTGATAACCAAGCCGGAGGTCGAACGCAAGCTGTTGCTGCGCCTGAAGAAGAAAGCGGAGACTTATGCGCTGGATTTCGCCCCCGACGGGGAGTTCAAACGAGATGCGGAGGGGAACATTGACGTGTCTACTAAAATTGACGTCGACGGTGTCGTCGACTTGTACAAAAGCTTCATCATTCCTCTAACCAAGGAAGTGGAGGTGAGGCTGACTACATTTCACTGTTCTGATCTGACCTGACCCTCACTGCACCAGGTGGATTATCTCTTGTGCCGACTGGATGAGCTTTCGGAGGACGCTATCGAGAAATTGAAGCAAAAGAACGTGGTGACATAGCAGATTAACTGAGCAACCAGAAAGAGAATAAAGATAGGGGTATCCAGGACCTGATAATCCAGTCGACTAATCCATCAGATGGTAATTTCCTACAGCGATAGATGAGCATCGAGATTGTTTTACAATCCAAGATCTGTCGGACTTGAGTGAAAGGAGACAGTGGATAGATAATGGAGAAACCCACCTTCCAGCAGTCTCTGAGTTTCTTCATCAGTAAAGTTGGCAGTTGCACGGCGAGCGAGCAGTTTCTCTGTTCTGAATTTCTCATAATAGTGTTCTTTCGTGTGGTTTTTGAGAACCTGAGTAACAAGTCAATTGAAGGCCATCTCTGCTTAATTGCGCAGAACGCACATTGAGGTGAGTGGACAGAACGGCTGTTCGGAGAGCAGCAAAGTCGCAGTGGCTGGGGTCCAGGACGTCGATGGTTCCCCATCGGTATTTGCGCACAAACACACCCTTGAGATCGTCGTGCATCGGGCCTTTCAAGAAAGGCAAGGCTCTGCCAGAGCGAGCAGAAGCCGGGGTCGACGGAGTCTGGTCATCAACAGATGACTCAGAGGTGTGTCCATCCTCAGACTGTCGTACCAGAGAAGACGGAGTGTTGAGAGCGTGTGTGTCTTCCGAGTCGCGTTTGTTCCGCCTAGTTTCCGGCGCAATCAGCGCAAAGGGCAACAACGTGCTCAGGTCGGTCTTGGCGACGATGTGAGCGGAGAACCGAACTTGAGCCAGACTCTCGGCATCGGGAGAGACAGGCCGGCGGTCGTCGTCTCCTGCACGAGAGAGATCTCGACGAGAACGCGAACGTGATAGTCCGCGGTTGCGACTCCTCAACTTGATAACAGGTCGCGATTGGCGTTCATCCTCTTCCTCTTCTTCGTCTTTCACTTCCCCATTTCCGTCTCCGTGCGCTTCGGTAAAGCGAGTACGTCGCTTCGGGGTTTCAACCGTCTCCGAGCTGGGAGGACTAAACACGCCGAAATCGAGCCCTGCCCCAGTAAGACCTTCTTGTACTACCGAAGAGGTTCGTCAACAGGCTCAAACGCGGTCCGAGGGAAGAGGACTAACCAGCGGTCTTCACTTGTGCCAGTTTAGTATCCGTCAGGGCATCTGAGCGACCAATGACGGGCAGCAAGTTGACCCGAGCCGAGAGGCGACGGATAACGCGAAGCTCGGCTGGACTCATAGTCAAGGCTCCCTCACTTTCATCCTCAGAGTCGTCCGAGGAAGTATCCGGCACGAGATCAGGAGGATTGCGATATGAAACTGTAGTTTCTGATCGCGTTTTCTGAGGCAGCGAAGACTGCTCTGCGCGGCCAGTCTTGGACATGATTGACGTGGGGTCGATCATGTAGATGCACCTAGGACGGTTTTGCTCAATATCAGAACAAAGATCGCATAGAAAGAGCCCACAGGTGGATGTGTTGGTCTCCTTTGCTTTTACGGACCACTTTGGATTCCTGGACCAACTTCAGCTGTCGCTGTAGAGCAAGATGTGAGAAACTGACCTCGCTCATCGTATCAGCATACTGTGCGTCAATGTACTTCATGACCGAGTTGACTTGGCGTTCCAGCTTCAGCTCGCGACCCTCCGAAAAGTCGAGTCCGGGCGTGTCAATGACCGAAAGTAACACTCTATCGAAGCGGGATTCACAGATTTCCACGCAGGCTGTCTGGATCGACTGAGTGCTTTTGGGTTGTCCGCGAAGGAACGCATGAGCGGCGGCCCGCTGGTCGGCCGTTGCGGTCGGAGACACATCGGCGGTATCCAAGAGCAAGCGTAACAAGCTTAAACCTCTTTAGTGCCGCATTACGACCAGACTCCAAGCCACGCACCTTGTTTTGCCTATGCCCTTGCTCCCCACAACCTGTGAGAGCCCGATGAAAGCGAGACACAAAGCAGGAGTACCAGACCCACCATGATGTTGAAAGTGGGAGGAACTTTGGCCCGACGTTGACTGCTCAGACGCGTGTTGGAGGCGGAGGACTTGCGGCCATCTGGAGTGTTGAAAGCCGACGGTGGGGAAGACATGTACAGGGAAGAAATGGTCCCATTTCCAGCGTGGCCAGAAGCGGCGCGGAAGGGTTTATGAAAGGGAATGGGGGTCCGCGCAGCGGATTGAATCGGAGATTTAGGCTGCTCGAGATCTGGGGAAGTCTGGCGGATGGCCTCGACATCAATGAGGTTCTCTGGCCATGGAATTCCCTGACTGTTGAGAGTTGGCAGAGAGGGGGAGGTGCGGATTCGTGGAGCCTCTGGTTGAGTAGTAGACTTGCGACGGAAGGAAAACATGGCAGTGACGAATGAGAGGCGGAGAGGGCAAAGGATGAGTGAACGTCCTTTGTGGCCACCAGGAAAGATTCAGGAGCGTGGGTAAGCCAGGGCCAAGGACACTTTCCTGAGTTAGATTGACAAGCAAATGCACAGCCACTGCGCATCAAAGAGATGGCATGTTGTATACAGTGGCCCATTTTATGTTACAGATACAAGTAAGCCTAAACCCAAGACAACAAGATGGAGACAACAAATGAAGGTATCTAGTAGTAGGCACAGCAAGATGCGCGGGTATATCCGTCGGTCAGGGCGAGCCACCCATCGACATCTTCATTTTCTTCGGCGGCCGACTGGTGTCCAGGTGATCCACCGGCCTCTTGTGATCATCTGGACCGTCGTCCGGAAGCAGAGGAGGGGGAGAAGCCGAGGGCTGAGATGTCCGTCGATTGGGCTTCTTCCCATTCGAGTCGTGCAGATAAGTGCAGGACAGATTGCGTCGCGTACAACTCGAGCTAGAGGAATCTGAGTATAATTCTACATCAGGCGGTATCCCATGCTCTTACCAGGAAGGATGGATCCCGTCGCATTTCGTCTTGCGAGCTGCGAGATGGGAGCTCAGAACGAGATCAGACAAAATGCTGGCCACACACCTCGACAATGATTGCAAGCAACGACTTTGGGACCAGAAGTGGTCGGCAAACGCGCGGGTTTCCCCGAAGCAGTCGCGGCGCGCTTCCTTTGCGCAGCTTGTTGCTCCGATGCAGGCAGGATCGGCGGCAGAGAAGGTGCAGATATCTGGCCGGGAGTCGACGGCGAGGTGTCGGGCAAAGAAAGGGTGGTGATGTGCGGCAACTCGTTGTCCAAAGACCGACGAGAAACAGTGGCGATCGGCGGGAGCTCGTCTCTGCGGTCCAGCAGCGGAGACAGATTTCGGCGCGGCACTACTTCAGGTGAAAGAGATTGATCTGCATTCTCGATCAAGCCTTCCTCGACACTCTCCGCACTGTCGCTTTCGTCCCCCTTGCTGAGCGGTACGGTAGTTCGTCGCCGGTTCTGGACCATGTAGTCGCAGGGATGAGAGCGCTTCACGCACTGACTGCACGAAGGGCGGCCGCCGTCACATTTCAATTTGCGGGCTGTGAATTGGTTCCATCATTGATGACGATGTTTATCTGATATGAGAAGGACACCCACATCGGCAAAAGTTGCATGCCACGGTGATCTTTTTGCTCCGCTGTCTTCCCATGGTGGCTGAGCCTTTCAAAACATGTCAGCATCTGCAACATGGCATGTGGAGTTGAAGCTCGGACTGACCGGGGGCCGGCCCTCTGGCCATAACGGGAGCAGTCGCGGACTCATTGCGCGAGGGATGGACGTCGCCAATGGTGATCTCCCGTAACGAGTGACGGCGACCAACAACGGGTCCAGCGTTCTCGGGGGCTGTGTCAATGGCCAAGATCGGGCGGGTTCCGTGCGATACCGAGCTGCTCAGCCTCAGCGACGTTAGATGAGGCAGATGCCGACTCGAGGAGCGCTGCGGCAAGCATTCGATCCGGAATTTGTCGAATAAGTATTCTCTGGTGTATTTCTGGAGGGTCTGCAGCATGGTGAGATGGGTGCTTCTCTCTAGAATGCGGCACAACATGCCTTCATGTGATGGAAGATAGCAGTGCGAAGCGGGACGAAGTCGCTGTGAGAGGGATCCAAAATGTCAATCGTGCCCCAGCGATAGGATCTCGTGTATTTCCTTTGCTTTTGCTTGGAGGCAGATGTTGGTGATGGAGTGTACTGGACAGCGAGTTCGTGCCGGGATACAGGGATCCGATGGACGCCGTCGCTATGAGAATAGGCGTCGGGAGATATAAGGGCATAGGGGAGTCTCAGAAGCGGTGACGAAAGCGATGGAGAGTTGGGCGGTGATTTTGATGTCCCGTTGCTCGTGCCATTTGAATACTCTCTGTCCGCGCCCGGATGATGATCGATGTCGAATATGCCAAATCCGATGCCGTTCAGAGCCAAATCTCTTCGCACGGCCATTTTCACAGCCGCAAGCCGTTCGTTGCACAAGAGATCCGCACGGGCTATCACGGGAAGGACGTTAACCCGCGAGGAGAGCCGGCGGATGGTTTGTATCTCGGACTGAGGAAGGGATGGGCGGTGCAACAATGGATTGCTGGGCAGGGGAGGTTCCAGAGTGAGCTCCGAGTCGCCTTGAGAAAAACTGTCGGCCCGAGAGCGGGGAAGGACTGGAATGGGGCATGGTGGAGGGACAATTTGATCAGGGTCAAGAAAGTAAATGCACCTATGAAGACAACTATGAGGGGACGGAAGGAGTAAGAGAAGAATATCGCAGCTTACAAGTGGACATAAGGGTCCCCGTTTTTGGCGGTCCATTCCTACGCGTCATTGTTAATGCGCGCCGATGAGCACAAAATGCGGCCCACGCACCTCGTCTTCTCCTTGCGCTAACCGCGACTCGATCGAATGAAGCATCTCCAACACGACCCTTGCATTGTGCGCCTCGTCTTGGGCATCCAGCGCCGGAGTGTCAATGAGTGTCAGGGTAAGGTCCTGTCCCGAGTCTGTCGACACGGTGAAATCGACCGTTCTTATATTCGAAGTTGGGGCATTGGACGCTTGTATGAACTTGGCCAGGGCCTGAATCTGCTCGGGGGGCGCGTCTGCCGAGATGGCGCTCGTGTCGACGAGTAAGCGGAGGAAAGAACTCTTCCCTGATCGGAGAACGTTCAGCGACGCGTTGCACGCGGAATGGGGGTAGAGGGCGGGAAACTTGCCTCCTCGACATCCTGCGACCAGGAGAGTGAGACCAGCTGTGTTTGAATGAGTGACGACCATAGGGTAGGGAGTGGAATCCACTGACTGGAGCCAGTTCCGGTGGGGTTGCGGCTGTAGGGTGAATCCCGATCATCTTGCCATTTCCGTGGTTCGACGGACTGCATAAAAGACGCGAAGGAAAGTTGACAGACGACAGGACGAGCGATTCAGGGAGCCGGGGAGCGCGCGAGGAAAGAGACGAGCGTACTCAGGCTCGACCGTCAGACAAGCGGCTGCAAGCGGGGATTCAAAGCTCTGATCAACCCGACCCGGACCAAGTTATTTAAGATAGGTCCCGAGAATCGGAGTTGGTCTTGAAGCGAGTCTGACTGTCCCGCGCTTGCAACCTTGGTTAGCCCCGGTAAGCGTGGGGGAGACCGAAGGAAAAGATCAAGGCTGGGGGGCTGGTTATTTAATATGCTCGCGGCCTCGCACTCGCAGCCGACAATCAGGTTCTTTATGAATCGACTCTAAATCTGGTGATTTCTACAACAACATGTATTATGGGCCATGCCCTCCTAGTTATGACTATGCAGAACAGTATGAAAACTACGGATACGATTATTAGAATAAGGTGCAGAATGCAACACTGGCCTCAAGGCGTCCAGTCCCAGCGGTTGACGGCCGAGAACGAGGAAACGAGTACGTAAAAAGAAGCAGCGGAGCCCTGTCACTCCCTCGGAACCTTCAGATATGGCATGTCTCATCTCTGCGCTCGACATCGAGTCTCAAAGTATCGCAATGCCCTACTGTCTGTCGTGTTCCTCTGGCGGACGTGAGTATTGTCCTTCGCGGTCGTCCGGGTTTTGCCGTCTCCTCGTTGTCCGGGGAGAATCGGATTCTCGATACTCCGTTTCTGCATATTGCTGCTGGTCGTCATCTTCGTCATCTCCTGTCGTGGGTGACGAGTCTCCCTGAGACGCAAGATCATACGATCGCCGCGTCGGCATTGAGGTGCCATCATCGTCTCGGAAACGCGACTCTGGCAAAAAATCATCCCGTCGGCCGGAAGACCCCTCTGGCCGTCTGCTGTCTGTCTTTTTTCTGCTGCTTTTGCCCTTGCCTGGACCGCGACGCTTTTGTTCAGAGCGGAAGTGGCAAATGTTCCCGCGTGATTCACAATTTCCGCAGATCGGCTTCTTGCCGTCGCATTTCAACTTTCGTTCTGAGACGAAGTAGTCAACCCTCATTGCGGCACAAAGAGAAGATATGAACACACGTCGACAGAAGTTGCATGCTACCCCGATCTTCTTCTGGATCTTTGTTGGCCTGGGATCATCGTCTTCGTAGGGATATTGGCGAGGGGTCCCTCTTGGGCCATCGTACGACGCTGATGCCGCTGGCGAAGGCCGATGTAGTGGCGGCAAGTACTGAGGATCTGGGTAAGGATACCTTCCATCGAACGGTCTTTCGTAAGACAAAGGCAGGCGCAGGGATTCCTGGTCGGGGCGGAGTCTCTCGTATGATGCTGTAACAGGTGAGATATGGGCTACTTGAAGATTGAGACTGACGCACATTCGCCCGGGTAGATTGGATCGACAGAACGCCGCTGCGGGTACCCTGGCTGGCTCGAACTGGCATACGATGGGATTTGAGAAGGACCCGCTTGGCCCTCGACCCAAGGCAGCGTGGTTTCCGCCAAACGCGAGTGACTGGTATTGCCAGGATATTGCGGCGAGCTCGCGTGCTGCCGATGTTGAAGAATTGCTCGATAGCTTGTCTCGCCGGGCGGCGGATTTTGATAATGTGAACCGGAGGCATGGAATGAGGAAGATCCCACACTGAAGCCGGAGCCGGAAGGTAGATGCCCAGCGTCTGGTTCGTATAGTATTGGATGTTGTCGGTAAGAATCTGATGTGGCAAGAGGCCGAAGAGAAAACGGGGGATGTCGACTTGGCTCGAACGGGACAGGGGCCTCCTCCGGCTCTTGCAAGCTTGCGCTGGGAGACGCATTTCTTCGTTCTTGCGGCCTGTCGAATAGATGTGGGATGAGGCTAGAGGGCAGCGAGCTTTCTTTAGCCATCTCAAGGCAACCGCGGGCGAGAAAAGAGGCGAGCGGGCGGGCGGTGGCACGTAGCGTAAAGAGTGTAGTCGGAAGGAAAGAACGAGATGGTCGTTGAGGTGAAGGGAAAGGAGTCCCGAGGGAATGAAGAGCCCATCCAGCTCGTCCAGAATGTCTCAAATTCGTTGTCCAGTCCGCTCGATCACTCTCGCGGGAGAATAGTGGAACTGGATGCAACCGCGGGTCGCATGCAGATTACTTCCGCGCGAACGGGCCCAAAAGCGCAGGACACAGAGGGTGAAAGCCACAAAGTCTGGCATATCCTTTCGTATGATTTGGCCAAGTTATTCCAGATTGATCTCCGAGGCTCTCTGCTCTCTGTCGCCTTTCCCCGATAAACTACAGCCACGATATTGTTCCCTCGTGGGTGCCGAGTCATTTTTGAGGCTTTAAGCTACTGGCATTCGAAGATTAACCTTCCATCGGCGACAGCAAAACAAGAATTCAGCTTAGGAGCTCACGCCTATCAACCCACGATAGTGGTAAGGTGCAGAAACCCTAATTCTTTTGATGTGGTCTTTTTTCTACATTCCAGGTTCATCGTCTGCGGACAAAGCCAAACATGCACATTGTCTATGTAAAGAAAGGTAACAATCGATGTGTACACAGTCCCCCTCAGACAGCCGCAGCATCCCCCTCTCCAGACTCGGACGGCTCCTCGCTATCTAATGTGCTTCTCCAAATCTGGAAGCATCGGCGATCTCCATTATCCCCCATCATAAAACGTGACTGAGCATCACACGATCAACCGATCGCTCTTACTTACATCACTTGTCGAGTCAAAAAGTTGTTGCGACCAAGTGTGAGTATGCTGCACCGGACCTCTCGCGCCCTTGCGCGTTCATTCTCGACAACATGTGCGCCGTGCACAGAGGCCCCTGTCATGAACCGCCACAGCCGAATTATCACGCAGCCCAAGGACCAGGGCGCAAGCCAGGTGCGCCGCCCACTAATGCCTGCCTTCTCATTCGCTCAAACAATGCAGGCCATGCTTTACGCGACAGACGGCGTTAACAGTGATGCCGACTTCAACAAAGCCATGGTTGGCGTGGCTAGTATATGGTAAACTTGTTCCGTGTACCTTATTTTCGGCTGACGCGTTGTCAGGTACGAAGGGAACCCGTGAGTCAAAGGTGCTCAGCTGTTCCTTGCTGAATGCAGACCTTCTCAGATGCAACAAGCACCTTTTGGGTCTGGGACAGGACATCAAGGCTTCGCTGACCGACGCGGACCTTATTGGATACCAGTTCGGTGCTGTCGGTGTCAGTGACGGAATCAGTATGGGCACCGCCGGAATGTCGTACTCCCTCCCTTCGCGTGACCTCATCGCCGATTCCGTTGAGTCGACCGCGGGCGGGCATCACCTGGATGGAATGGTTGTTGTCCCGGGATGCGATAAGAACATGCCCGGCGTGTTAATGGCTCGTGAGTGGTTGAACTTCACCCGCATACATTTGATGCCGAAACATCGCAGTCGGTCGGCTTAACCGCCCGGGTATCATGGTTTACGGAGGCACCATCCGTCCAGGCTCTTGCGAGGGAATGCCTCAACTGGACTTGGTCTCCGCGTTCCAGTCCTACGGCAAGTACTTGATGGATGGTCAGACTCCCGCAGCAGAAAAGGAGCGGTACAATACAGTACGACATGCTTGCCCTGGACCTGGCGCTTGCGGAGGGGTCAGTCTGCAGTATCAATGACCGGCCTACGCTAATAAGGTCGCAGATGTACACGGCCAACACGATGGCTAGCGCGTCCGAGGCATTGGGCATGACACTACCTGGCTCTTCATCCTTCCCCGCCACCTCCGAAGAAAAGATCGCGGAATGCAAATCAATAGGCCCTGTGATGCACAACCTGATCGCCCAAAACATCCTGCCCCGAGATATCATGACTCGCTCAGCATTCGAAAACGCGATGGTCAGCATCACTCATTGTGCCATTTTTGTGCCTTGATTCACATCTCTTTGTAGGTTCTGACGATGATCCTCGGAGGATCCACAAACGCCGTGTTGCATCTGATCGCCATCGCGCATTCTGTTGGCATCGAGCTCACCATCGATGACTTCCAATCAGTGGCAGATCGGACTCCGTTCTTGGCTGACATCAAGCCCAGCGGAAAGTATGTGATGGAACATGTCTACAAGATCGGTGGTATCCCCAGTGCGTGCCAGTCCCTGATGACAGCATTTCTCGACCAACCGCTGCTGCAGAAATTATGGCCTTCCTCCTCAAAAACAAACTCATTGACGGTAACAACATGACGGTCACCGGCAAGACCTTGGGTGAAAATCTCGAGCGCTGGACACACCAGTACGGCGAGCTCGACTTTACGTCGCAGGACGTTATCCGACCTCTCGACAAACCAATCAAGGAAACGGGACATCTGCGCATTCTCAAGGGCAACCTGGCCCCAGGGGGCGCCGTAGCCAAGATCACTGGTAAAGAAGGGCTCAGTTTCAGGGGGAAAGCGCGTGTTTTTGACACAGAGGCTGATATGGTCGCTGCTGTCGAAAGCGGCTCAATCAAACAAGGCGAGAAGACGGTGGTGATCTTGCGTTATCTCGGACCCAAAGGTGGACCTGGTGCGTCTTTCCTTTTGTGATCATTGGCCGGCAATTCACCATCCCTAGGGATGCCGGAAATGCTCAAGCCGACCAGTCTCATCATGGGAGCTGGGCTGGGACTCGACGTCGCTTGCTTGACTGACGGTCGGTTCAGCGGAGGATCCCATGGGTTCTGCATTGGCCATGTCGTCCCCGAAGCACAAGTCGGGGGACCGATCGCTCTTGTCAAAGACGGAGATGTGATCACCGTCGACGCCGTAGCCAACTCGATCGAGCTCGAGGTCTCTGACGAAGAGCTCGCTGTACGGCGTGAGGCTTGGGTTGCTCCCCCGCTCAAGGTCAAGCAGGGCGGTCTCTACAAATATGTCAAGGCCGTGTCCGACGCCAGCCACGGCTGCGTCACCGACTTGTAGTAGCATACAAAAATAGTTATCTGTGGAAGGAGCTTATGCCCGACTCGTTTTCTTGATGGCTTTCTTCTTCTCTGCCTTGGGCATTTTCTGCTTCCGGCGTTCTTTGGCTTCCGCTTTGACCGCCTTTTTGCGCTCCTGCACATCCAGTCAGCGCCTGCACCGTTGTACGCCGTCGGTACCCACCTTTTTCGCATCTTTATCCTCATGCTTGTGTCCCCTGGGAACGCGAGCTGTGAACCTTGCCTCACCCTGATCCTTGTTCTCATCGTCGGCTTCATCGTCCTCATCTTCGTCTTCATCTTCGTCATTCCCCTCGCTTTCATCATCTTCCTCGTCCACAAGCCCCAGTGCATCTTTGAAAACCAAACCCCCATCCCCCATATCTCGTTCGGGATCCATCAGTTCATTCAAAGATCGTGGTATATGGGAGTTGAGGAACACAGCAGTATCAGTCTCCTTCTGAATCGTATCTGGCTCCGAGGAAGAGGGCTCAGTATCGTTCAGCCATTGTCGTAAAACCGCCAAAGCCTGTGCATTGGCGTCCACATCGAGCGACAACGGTTCAGTGTCCGCGTTTTCCACTGGAACATCTTTCTCCGCTGCAAGCTCCGGGAGGACCTCGCGAGTAACGAACTCGAATGCTTGACGGATGCCCAAACATTTGACCCCTCTCCGCCCAAAGAACTCTTCGGCATTCTTTAAGTCATTCCGCAGGAAGTCAAAGGCAGAGGGATGGTCGTGCTCCACGCTTTGTGAAACGTCGATGATCCAAAGATGGCCCTCGTGGACGAGGATGTTGTACTCGCTCAGATCGGCATGGACAAGGCGGCACTGCTGGTACATCGTCCGGATACCGAGTAGCAGCTCCTCATACAGTCGCGGGCCGTCGTTCTCCAAAAACTCGGCATCTTTGAGACGCGGCGACGCCCATCCCTCCTTGTCGCCGAGGAAAGTCATCACCAACACGTTCTCCCGGACCTCCACCGGCTCTGGGGCACGCAATCCGGCTGTACGCAGCCGCTTGAGGTTGCGCATCTCCTTCTCAGCCCACAGACGGACCATTTTCCGCGGATTATGGCGTGCGTAACCGCGGCGGAAACGATGTTCACCAGAGACGTACTTATCTCGGTCCTTGAAGATCAGAATAGATGTTTTGTAGATCTTCAGCGCAAGATGGGCCTTCTCTGGTGTCAGAGCGTGATATACGTTGGCCTGGGCATGACGTGCAAAACTGAGTTAGATGCAAACGACAATCAGACTGCTCGTGCACACCTCCTTCCCTGTACTGATACACCCATTCACTTCGTCGATCAGGCCCCGACCGACCATCTTTAGGAGGATCGTGCGTGTCCGGGGATCCAATACTTGTTCGGTCGTCGCTCGATCGGCCTTGTCCTTCTGGTTCGCAGTCGCACTGGGGCCCTTGCGATTCACACCGACGCCAAGCGCATACGGAGCGTCGATCTTTGCAATCCGCGAAGAGTATTTGGCAAGCGCCGCTAGCTGATCGGTGGTCTTGTCCCGAGGCGGTGCAGTTGTGGTCGTTCGAGCGCTGGGATGGTTTATTGCAGGCACGGCGGCGACCGCAGCTGTTTTGTTGATAGCGGACGCGGACCCTTGTGCGTTCCCAGTCCGCACAGCAACATGTTGACGGAGCCTGTTGAATTGTTTTGTAAAGTCTGGAAATGTTGGGACCGGGCCATACAAACGGCCGCACGAGAAGCCTGACCTCCTTCAGCCTGTTCCCAGTCTTCGTCCTCTACTCGGGTATCGGAGAACTCAGAGCCAAAGTCAGAGTCGGGATCGGATTCATAATCCGAGTATTGGCCGATTTCATCCTCCGACTGGGGCAGGGCGTCCAGGATGGTGGTGATTGTAGACATGGAAAAATTGGTGATGATGTAAGTGCTAGGGATCGAAAAGATTAGATAAATCACGATAACGTGACCACAGTCGCTGGACGCAGAAACAGCTCAAGAGCCAATGGGGTATGTATGTACATAGGTGAAGGTACAGTAGAGAAAAGTACAGAATCTGCTCATTTCTTTTTCTTCTTCGGTGCTGGTCGCGGCGCGTTGGGATCCTTCGGCGGTCGACCACGTGGTCGTTTGACGGGGACAATTGGAACCGGCGGAGTCGCTGGAGTAGCTGGAGGTGTTGGCACTGGCGCTACTATCGGTACAGCCGGAACAGCTTTCCGACGCCCTTGTTTGCTGGAAGGCGATGTTGCCCTGGGGTCTATGCCGTCATCAGTACTGTGCTGGCTGCTCAACTGCGAGAGCGGGACGTACCGGCAGACGCATCCCTCATTTCGACATCCTCGTCCCCACCGAATTCAGTTCCCCCACCTTCGGTACCCGTGGCGTTGCTCTCATGTGGCGTTGGAATCCCCTCGTCACCGCTTTCTTGCGTCAGAGCGCTGCTGTCACTATCGCCGCCCACTAACCCTGCCAGATCCAACTTGCTCTTCCCTCGCTTACGCCCTGCGCGCGTGCGGCCTGGTGGTTTCGTAACGGGTGTGGCGGGGGACGATACGGGGGAAGGCGTGCTGCGTATCCTCCGCTCGGTGAGCATTTCCTCCATCCTTTGGTCGTAGGGTAGAGAGTATTCTTCGCGGAAAAACGGATGTGCAGCGAGATTATCGTTCATTGAAGGTGAGGGCATCATTACAGGTCTTCCGCTGCCATTCGGCATGAGGGACTCATACTCGATGTCCTGTAAAGATGTTTTGTAACTAACAAATGAGATCACGCGAGTGAGGCTCAATACATACAACAGTTTCCAGCGCGTCCAGATCGTACAGAGTACGCAGTTTGTCCCAGATAGCTTGGATAGCAACCGCATGGCCGGTGTCTTTGTGTATGTTCTGGAAGATGTTGAGGATGTGGAAATGTCTGTGGATGCCGACAGGTCGGGCACGGGTAATGGCTCGAAAAAAGGCGATTTCTCCCTCGACTGTAGAAAGGAACTCGGTGGAGTCTGAAAGGCTTTCCTCCACCAGTACGGGCGTCGGCGTCGCACTGGCGCTCATGGACATGAGGTGCTGACGAGAGGATTTTGATGCGCTGACCAAGCGATCGACCGCACAGCCTTGGCAGCTTACCTGCTCTGAGTCTGTCAATTTCTAGCACCGTCCATCTGGCATTGGGACGCGTAAGCGCTCCCTATTTATTCCACCGCGCTTTCTTCTTCCGGATACCCAGTCTCCCTCCCACCCTATCCATCACTCTCCTACGATGTCCTCCAACAGCGAACAGATGCTTTCCGTGGGGTCCCAGTGCTCGCACGAATCATGCTCCCTCATCGACTTCCTCCCATTCAAATGTCAGCACTGTGCCCACTCATTCTGCCAGGACCACTTCATGGTCAGCACACACAAGTGCCCTGCCTACGATGAGACCAAGTTCAACCGAGTCGCGCCGAACTGTCCGTTCTGCAACGTCGTCCTGTCGATTCCCCGGGGTCAGGACCCGAACGATGTGATGGAAACGCACTTCATGGTGGATTGTGCAGTGGTGACCGGGGTCAAAGCCAAAGCGAAGACCACACCCGTGTGCGCCCGACCGAAGTGTGGAAAGACCTTGTTCTCTCCCATCCGATGCACCGTATGTCTGCAGCTCATTACATTCGGAGCAATAGACTGATTCGTCCTCAGAAATGCACTCGGGATTTCTGTCCTTCTCACCGCTTCCCTGGGGACGGCCATACTTGCCAGCCAGTCGCCGCTGTTCAGCAGATTCGTGCTGGAGGTGCCACGATGAACAGCCGGCTACTCGATCTGAACAAGCAGGCCTCTGCCGCAAGCTCCGCTGCAGTCACTGCAGTCAAGAGTATGGCCGCCAATGTTCAGGCCAAACCAGCTCCAGTCAAGCCGAAGTCATCACCGGCCCCATCACCCGCCACCACGAGCACAGGAAAGTCAACCTCCAGTGTCCCCAACTTATTCTCCAAGACCGACCGGTACGTCCCATCAGCGTGCCTCTATTCACAGCGACCGATTTATGACGACCAGCTCCCCACCTTCCTCCCCTGCTCTCCCCATCCTGAACGAACCGGAAACGCCTAACAAACCCGAACCCGTTATCCGCATGTCTTTTGTACCCCCGCCCATCTTCGCGACGGCTTGATCCACTGTATCAATCTCACGGCCAACCTATCTCATTCATTCTACGTTATCCCACACCATCTAATCGTATCTTCAACATGTATTTATAGTCGTGCCAGGGCAGAGCGGGAAAGCCGGCGCAAAGCTATGCAAGAGCGAGCGAAGAAAGGGCTGCTCAGCGAGGAGGAGAAACGGATTTTGACTGCATTAGAGCAAGAGAAGACAGACGACGGCGACTGCACTGTTATGTAGTGGAGGGAGTAATGCTACAGTGTCAAATTCTCATTTGGATGTTACATTATGTGAATATACAGATCTCTAGGAAGTGTCCATTCGTTCCTGAGCCAACTTGGCCCTTCGCTCGACCAAGAACTTGTCGATGCGCGCTTTGAGTACAGCATCTGTGTATGGCAGTCAGCATGCGGGATGGATTATGGCCTCACGCGCGACTGACCAGGAATCACATCTTCTATCGACAACGCAACCCGATTGAAAGGATCTTTGGAGTCAGAAAGCAGATGCGACTTGATGGTAGACCGGTCGATAACAGCACGAGAGCTGGGCAATATCACAGGATCGCGCATGACGGTGAACATCAGAGGATCTGCAGGCAAGTTGAGGTAATACAGATCAGAGCCTGCGCCTGAGGGAGAGACGCACCCAGGAACTCGTCTGGGACTTCACCCAGATCTTCCTCTGCCTCCATGTTCAACCGACACACTTCGACCTTGGCGACAAAGGCCCGCAGCTGAGCTACTTCCTGCTCCGTCTTGAGCGTGCGCCGAAGTGCGGTAGTTGCAGCTCGTTCGAATAATTCCGCACTGTAGCTCCTGCCGTCGTTGGCTACAGCTTTGACGAAGGCGTCCTGGTCGCTCAGATTCAGGAAGACCTGGAGAATGTCGCTCAAGAGCGCCTTAGGATTGAATCTAAGTTTCTGGGGGTCTTGCACTTGGAGGTCCTGGTATTTCGGTCCGACCAAGGCGTGCAAGTTGTAGTCTAACATCGCTGCGAGGCGGTCGACAATCTCCGGCATCATGAACGGCGCCTTGGTTTCAGACGTAAAGACTTTGAGCAGCTCGACTGTGCTTCGGCCGAGAGAGATGTAACCGCCTGCGTGTCGTTCTAGCGTCCGAAGCGTGTTTTCCCGCTCCCTCCGCTGCTGCTGCGGCTGTGCGTTCCACGTCGCTTGGTCTCTCATCTCCTGTTGGATGGTGTGGATCTGACTGAGCTCCCCCAGCGACTCGTCCATGAGATACGTCACGTCGTTGATCATCAAGTTCACAAATTTCACAAATTTGTCGACATTGCTGGGAAAACATTCAGTCGGTCATTTTTCGCGCAGAGCAGAGAAGGTCAACCTCGCAGCTTCGTCATTCAAAGCTTGCCTGTGCGCTGGGTTGTCCCACACCACTTTCAGGATGTGTGCGATGTTGCGACTAACAGACATCAGTATGCTATCTATCACAGCAGGATCTATTCGCTCACCGAGCATTGAACTTGTCATAGAACTGAGAGCTAGCACCGGTCTGCTCGACCTCTACGATGCTCAGTCGGCCATGGGCGTATGGAAAGGCAAACGGATCTACACACCAATATAGAAATGCGTCAATGCCGGCATGAGATGCTTCAACGCCAGCTGATTCGTGTTCAGCATGTTGCCGAGTATCCCATGGCGATCCCTCCCGTTGAAGTTCCAGACACCAAAGAACAGCACCTAAAGAGTGTGAGCATATTCTTCATGCTGTCGTTGGGTAACACACATCATTGATCTTGGATTTCAGGAACGGATTCTTGATGTACCAAGTCGAGTTCAGGAAAGTGAGAGCAAAGACCAACAGCTCCGTCTTGCCCGAAAGTTCGAATTTATCCGGCGACGACCTATCCCTACGATTAGACGTGGCTGCGTCGCGTGAGTCGGAAGCGATGACTGACTGTGTCACAAAGTAAAGATACTCGACAATGTCTTCCACGATATACTCTGGCAAAACTCGGAAATCCATTGGAACTTCTTGAGGCAAGGGAATTCTGAGCGTAAGTTACGTTAGGACAAGAGTTGAGAGAGATGCGATGATTCGCACTGGACAGTGGGGCTCGGATGTTTCTTCCTCGGATCAGCTTGACGGATGAGCCAGGTGGATAAGAAATTCGTGAAGCCGATGGACCTGAAAACAAGTTCCGGTTCCAGGAGCTGTGTTTCGTAGGTGATCTGGAGGACGCGAACTTTGGTCATCTCAGCCTTGACCGTGTTGATGGCATTGTCCAACTGCGCCTGGCGGAGGGGATTCTGTATGCGAAATCATTCAAAGCCTTCCTCGCAAACGACGCGGTGACATACACCCATGCCCGAATTATCGGCACTCAGCATGTCCAAGTGTCGCTGCATATCGTCGTAAGGCCGGTTGAGGTCCCGGTATGTTGAGATTGTGTGAAGAATTCCGTAGTGGCTCATCGCGACAGTGAGGTAGAAGATGTCGGAGATGAAATTTTGCGCCGCGCCTGGGTTTGATCGGCACAAGTAACGGGGCCATTCTCTGGGTATGACTCACCAGAAGGGTCCTTATGCTCTTCCGCCCATGCATTTGCCTCCTCGCTGGTCGCCTTAATCCTAGTCTCTTCTTTGAGGTCGATGCGGTCTGAACGTGCGTAGTAGAATGGATCAATCCTGTCCATCTTCGAGTACGTCGAATCGATGAACGGCTCTGCGAAACGAAGGAGCACGCTTTGTATGTTGACCATGAACGAATCGGACGAAACCGTGTCTGGCTCGACCTGCATTCCAGCACGCCGGTGGTTTAACGAGATGATACGCGAGAAGTAACTGAGAACAGCTTCTCGAGACGTCGGCGACGCTCGTACGAACGTGTTGAACATTTGGAACAACGAGGTCTGTCGAGGCTGAGATGGGTCTCAGCTGCTATCGCACACCCACCCACCTGAAGACTTTTCAACGTCCCGCGTAGACTGGCCTGTGACGACTCAATGTCGTCGCGTGATCTCTTTTCAGGATCCGAGAAATACGTTTGTCCGATGCCCGGCTAGATGCAGGCTTTATGAGTGACAGTCCACAGAGGCAAAGAAAGCACAGACCCATTCGCGAACGAATACACCTAGTCTGCACAACGGGCCCATGAGCGACACCCGTTCTAGTGTTGGAGCAGTCGCTGTGGCAGGGTTGAATGACTCTAGTCGAGTGATCATGACTGCGATGGATTTGATCGACACGAGCGCTTCCAGACCGCCAACCACTCCTCTCCAACCAGAATCTCCGCCGCCGAGACCTTCTGGTCGGAACAAGGATTCATGAAAGAGCAGTTGCTCGACAACAGGCCCCAGCACTCCGTCTATCTCGTCATCTGGTTCAAAGCGTCGCGCAAGGTCTTGCAGAAACGCCTCGATGTCTCCCGGCGTCAAGGTATTCTGAGAAGACGACGACGAGCCGAAGAGCGGTGTAGAAAGAGCAGATATAGAGAGCAATGCGGACACGAGTTCGGGAGAGCCCAGAGCCTTGCTGATTATCTCATGAGCTAGTGAATACCGCTGCAATCAGAAAACATACCCCGAAGGCTGAGGAAACATCTGCGGCTCTTGCAGAGTGAGCCCCGTGTAGCTGATCACAAGCTCACGTAGTTTCTCTAGACGTGTGAGTGCATTTTGTACGTCGACCGGAGGATGAGCCTGTATTTTGTATTAGAACATCACATGCTCCGACACATACCATCCACACCTTCTTCATCAAAGTGGACCTGGCTGTGTTCAGTCGCTTCCAACACCCGACGAGATACTCGAAAGTCGTTTGTTGAGCGGGAAGAGATGCAAGTACGGGAAGATAATCCAGATCGTCGCTACTCTTTGTTAGTTCCCGAGAAACTTAACAGGCAAGGCTCAAACCTCATGGAGGACGGATCGAGCTCTAGTCGCGCGATCAACAAGCGATCGATGATGTCCCCGTTCAACGCCAAAGAAACTTGAGACGAGGGTCAGCCTATGCTTCGGAGATATTACCAATCATATCCCGTACCGCCCTCGGCCTCGAGCTCGGTCGTCAGCGACTTGAGCCACACAACGCTGTATCCCGATTCGTCTGCCGCCTTTCGCTGTGCCACACCCACCGTCAGCCTGACTTTCCTGCATGCGAAACGGTAAACGGGCCGGCACGCACATCAAGTGTGACACCGAGCACCTGGCCGATCGTGTCGCGCTCCCACGCATCTACGTTCAAAGGGACGATCTGGGGTGCCTTCTTCTTGGTGGGCGGGGGAGACGCGAGCGCCGCCGGTGGGCTGACGACGCGTTTGGGAGCCGGGCTGGGGGCGACCGGAGTCTGCGGCTTGGACGACGACGCGGATTTAAGCTGCACCGGTGCGGGAGGTGGGTTGATGGGTGTCGAGCTCCCCGATGGGGAAAAGCCGGAGCTGGGGCCGGGGGTGGGTGATGGTGAAGCTGCGGGGGCACCTTGGAGTTTCGCCAGACGTTTCAGGCGAATCTGGAGTAGATCATCAGAGGATGTGAGGCAGAGGACGAGTGGCTGCTTTTACGCGGTCGGCATCTTCTTGAGGAGTGCTGGTAGACGGATCACTCATGCTTTCACCACCGTGTGTGTATAATTGACGAAAATTTAGATTATGGAGGTCGAGTGGAAGCAGGTGGAAGCTTTGGCAACTCTGGTCGACTGCCTGATGGAGGAGCACGTGATGCCAAATGCTCTGACACTTTCGGAGGCTCTGCTGTTCTTCCCACTCTCATCCTCGGTATCTTCACCATGCTTGGCGCCCTCCAACACTGCACGTCTAGACTATGGTCGCTCCGGTCTTTCTCTACAACTCCTGTCGTTGAGGCTGGCTACAAGATGAAAACCCACTCCGGCGCAAAGAAACGATGGAGGTCATCTGTCGGTTCCGGGAAATTCAAACGCGTCCGCCCTATTCTGGACTCGTGTTACGTTCTCTGATTGTGGGGTTCTTTATAGGGTCAAGCCTTCCGCCAGCATTTGCACGCAAACAAGCCTCCAGCACGATTAAACAGGCTGGGCAACACCGTGTTTTCGACACCGACGCAGACCCACAAATTGAAGAAGGTGCTATTGCCGTATGGGTCCGGCTAGTGCAATGGTCACTCGATGGTGCGTGCGGACTCTGCCTCTCCTTTATCTCCTGCCGACGACACAGACCAGAACCCGCCCACCCGAGCCTATGTATCATTTTGGTTTAGATTTCAGTCCGAAAAATCCACGAATGTCCCTCTGTCGACTGTCCCTTGCCTCGCGTCCTATCCCTCCTCTCTGCCTCTTCTGTGAGAATCCCATCGTCAATTCCGTCGATTGTTGTCCCCGCGAGAATGTACATACCACGGAGGACAAGTGACTGCACTCATCGAAGTGGGATACTCGCACCTGCAGCACTGTCGGCTCGGAGAGACCGACTGGGGGCTTTACCTTGTATGAGGAGTCTCGTCAAAACCGTGTCTCTCGGGCGCCGCACCTTCTCGCTGAACACCACTCTGACCCAACCGGTGTTGCGCAGTCTCTGGGAAAGAGTGGCAGAGAGGTCCAAGGTCGGGTCGTACTTGGACAGCGCGCGGATCGCCTCCTTGATAAACAGACCGTGGCTCACGACGGCGATATGCACGGGCGCGCTGGCCTCGGCTTCCTGCGCGTCCTGCACGAATCGAAAGAGCTCTTCTTCCCACATCGTCTGCGCGCGCTTCAGCACGTCTTGTAAGCTTTCTCCCTGCGGAAACGAATCGTAGCGTCCGACATGCGGGAACCTTCCAGCCACGAAATGCTGCTGAAGCGTCAGCGCGGGATCGCGCCTTGACCAGGGTTTCCCCTCTGCTTCGCCAAAGTGCTGCTCCCTGAGCAGCAGAGAAGTCGTCAGGGAAAGGGGGTCCTCCTGCTTCTTCTGGATCTCTTGAGCAGTCATATAAGCGCGTTGTAGGGGCGAGGAGTATATAGCTGTGAATCTGGTTGCGGAAAGCGCGTCGGCGACGGCCTGCGCTTGCTAGACTGGTGTCAGTGGAGACGGAAGTGAACGATTTCAGGGCGAATGCACTTGCGTTCATTCCTGTGATATGAGTCAGCAAGTAGCCGCGAGGAGTGTGGAGAACGAACCATGGTTGGTCAGTGTAGCGTCGCGCCATCCAGCCCAAAGTGAGAGCTATTCAACGACGTTTCACACAGATGCGACTTAGCTGCAACTCAGATGTGCTGCACTGACCACGTTATCAGTCGACTCTCCATGTCGGACCTGGGCCAGAACGTTAGTATTCTTTGTATTAGTCCTGGGAAGATATTTGACAAAAGTAAAAGTCGCCAGTGTCCTAGACATTGCGCTAACCAAGTGCAGGCATGAGTTCAAGAATCGAATTGATCGGATGACATCAGAGTGATTCGATCTGATAAGATCCTTGAGAGTGTCATCGGTCTCATCTTCTTTGCGTCCAACTAATACGGTCGAAGCAGCAAGTGTGATATCGCCGCGCGCTCAAAGTCTTGACGACGCTTACAGCCAGCGCAGTTTCTGTCGACCGCTGGTCATCTTTCTGCGCGACGTGAAGGCTGACGGGAGACATGAAGCTTGAGAACAGATGGCTTCTTTCGGCGAATCACAACGCTTGCATGACTTTGGTCTGCACTGGCAGTCTTCGCACTGCCAATGGCGCCTGTCCAATCTGAACACTCGGCTGATGATTGGGCGCGACGCCCCCATTCTGAATGGCTCATATCGAGGGTGTAGGACAAGGTAGTCATCAGTGAGACCTGTAGGCTGTAGGCTGTGGCCTCCAATCACTTGTCCGCGACGTGCGCCCACATGTCCACCAGAGTCACCGACCTGTATCGAGCCTTCCGTCCTTCAGGCTCGCGCAGTTCCAGTGGAACGGTAAGTGATCGGTGCTACATTGTGCATCGTTATAAAAAGCTGGGGAACTGTGGCAAGTGGCAGCAAGCAAACCAGTCTCATTCCTTTCTCCTTCGTTCACCTCTTCGGCCAGGTCGCCCACAGTCTTTTATTTCATTCTCTTCGTTCACATTCATTGGTCGACCTTCCATTTACATTCTCAAGGTTTGCAGTCCCTTTGCTGCCTGCGCGATCGGACGACTGACCCAGTTTCTAGCAAACCATGTTCGCCAAGCTGATCATCGCTGTTGCCCTTGCCACCGGGGTCGTGTCTGGCCCACTGTCCGTCCGCTCCAAGGCCGCCCGTGACGACTCGGCCGGCCCGTCATCTTCTGATTCATACAACTCCTCGTACAGCGCTCCATCGACGAGCTACGCCCCTTCGTACGGGTCTACATCGTACAGCGGGTCCTCAAGCACGGATTCTTCCTACAGCGGGTCCTCTTACAACGGCGCTTCTTACAGCGGCTCGTCATACGGCTCGGTGTACAGTCCGCCTTCGTATGGACAGTCTGGGTACGATATGTCATTTGACAACTGGGGCGGCTACAAGTCCATGGACGGCTTCGACAACTTCTACGGATCCAAGGACTTTTCGCACCAATACTACACCCCGACATACGCCAAGTACGACGACAGCAGCTACACGTGCTCCTCCCAATCCGTGCACATCGTCCAGCAGCGTCTCGCCGTGCTCCAGGAAATGGCCAAACAGTCTGTCCCCCCGATCGTCTGTGACCGATCCATACCTGACACCGACATTTCCTCCCCGCAGGATCATCTCAGAGCAAATCTGCGACTGCGAGACCCAGATAATCGTCTTCCAGCAATACTACGCGTCGCTCGGCGGCTACGCCCACGACATCACGCGCAGATCCGGCCGTCACGTGCGTTTCTTCTTCTCTCTCCAGCTGTCGATTTGTTCACTGACATATCGCATGCAGGTCGGCTACGATAAGCAGATCGTCTCGCACTACGGGAGCATGTACGATTCGGACGGGTCGCTCAGCACCTCCGACTTTGGCTTCAACGGCTCGGATGTCGGCAGCTGCTACTGGGTCCCGAGCGGCAGCAACTGGAACGACAACACCTCGTACAGCTCTGTCGGGTCCGCCTACCAGGTGTCTCAGGTCGCCACGTACTATTGATCAGCGACATTACCATATTTGGGCCGCCTCTGTTCTCACGTGATCGTTCATCCTTAATTTTCACCTTGGGCTCGAGAGAATTCTATTATCTTGATTATCATATCCTCTAATTATTTCACAATAAATGCTTTGCACACCGTACTTGCTTGGGCCTCTAGATCTTGATTACAGAGACAGATACAAGCGTTTACACGAGATGCAATAACGAAAACAACGACTGGTAAGTAGTAGAGTAGATAGAATATAAGCAACAGATCCAGTGTCCAACAGAAATGCGAATTCTGCAATCCGGATGTATAGCGATTCGGTGCGTTCATTCCTGGCCGAAACCTTCCGTTTCCCTGCGCGGGTCGTCAGCGGGAAGGCACTGCGACATAACGAAGAAAAACAAACTCTATGGCGAAAATCAGCTTGGTTTCGAGACTCTTGTAGTCCTCGTAGGGAGGCAGATCTAGTCGGTTAAAGCATGTGTGACTGCGGGGCAGTCCCTGGGGATCTCCGCTGCGCTCAATAGTGAATCGCCTCGGCCTGAACGCAACACATAAGCATCCGAGTACGTCACGACAACGAAGTAACGACGTACCCATCGGATCCCTGCAAATCCTTGAATCCGTTGACAGGCACCCGGGACGTGCCTGTGGTGAACTGAAGCAGGCGCGACTTGCGTTCGGCAGGCCATGAGCGGATGCACTGCCAGAACCATTCGATGACCTGGTCCGTCTTCTCGTAGCCCCGGTAGTCCGTGAACTTGGTCCAATCATCCATGTCGATCTCCGACATCCCGCCAATGAGCAGCTCCAGCTCCCGCTCGTCAAAGACCGTGATCAGCTCCGGCGGGATCAGTTCCAGCAGACCCTCCATGAACGCATCGAACTGCTCCTTCACACGGCGCGCAATTCGGTACGACACGACCGATTCCACGTATTCCTTCTTGTTCTCCTCCGTGACAGACAGCTCCTCTCCGCCCGGCTTCAGTTCTACAGTCACGTGTTCACCAAAGCGCTCCTCTGTGACCGAGAAAGTCTCGTCCAGCACATCGGTGATGTCGTTGTCCCTGAACAAATCTCAGCGGAAAGACGATAAACAAATGCAAAAAGACGCACAACATCCAATTCAAGGAGCGATGCAGATCTGCGTCAATGGCTTCCAGATCCCCAAGCGTCATGGAGCGACCGAGGATCATCTTGTAGAAACTCGGCACAAAGTACGCATCCATGAATCGCCGGTGGAATATCGCCAGCCCCAGACACCGCCCGATGAACTTGAAGTAGCTCAGATGGTCGGGATTGATCCCGGACGCAGGGTTGATCTGCAGCGTGTAGTTGTCATGGGCCGAGTATTCAAACAGACCGTAGCTCGGATTGAATATCTCATGGGAGAGCAGGAAGAACCATTCTCTGCGGCGCCGGGTGAGATTGAATGCGGAGCACAGGTAAAGACAAAAACACGCACCGACCGACTCCACCGTAGTCGAGACCGTCCTCCCCATCAAAGCTGACCATTAACCGCCGTTTGAGTTCTTCAGCGGGGAGCGCCATAACGGCAGCGTAGCTGTCCTCGAGGATCCTCGACCGTCGCACCTTGACATCGCATTTACCAGCCAATACTCTCATCTTCGGTTGGCTGCGGAAATACACGACTTTGCGCCGGTAGTCTCGCTTGTACTGCGGAGCGTTGTCGTCCGGGTTCGTCGGCAGTCGCGGATCATCCCAGGCCGTCGTTTTCGTGTTGTGGTCCACGAAATACACTCGGCCCGTCGACGTCAGCCGCATTTCCCATCCGGATGGAAGCGGGCCTAGATTGCTGTTCACCACGGTCGCCGCGGACGCCGTCTGAGGCTGGGGAAGGCCGGCCCGTCGGGGGTCCACCCACGTCGTCGTTCTTGTCCCGTGATCGACGAAGTAAGGCCGCCCTTCCGGTGTTCGTCGTTCCTCCCATCCCGATGGTAGCGGAACATCGGCATAGACCCCGTTCTGGACAGGACTAGGCGATTGTGAGGGTGCAGCGACGGCGGGGTTTCTCGCGGGGGACGGTGCCGGGGCAGAGGGCCGGATACTGGACTGTGCGTTGGGGGAAGGTCGATGCCATGTAGTCGTGCGCGAGTTGTGATCAACGTAATACGTCCGTCCTTGGAGATCCACACGCCGTTCCCAACCTGCTGGGAGAGGCAGTCCATTATCGTCGTCCGTTTGATGATTGGCCGGTATCGGGGTGGGGGGAATAGAGGCTTGCAGAGACGCGGGACGAACCAGCTGACTGGATGAGGGGGAACTGCTCTGGAACGTTTGGCTCGTGGCAGGTCGTAGTGGAGGAGGAGGATTTAACGACCGGGCTCGATCAAGCGTGTTGATTGGGACTGGCGCAGTACTGGTCGGCCGGGAAGACAGGGATGAGTTGGGCGAAGGCATGACCGTGGTCGACGGCCGAGGCGAATGGTTTACATGCGACGGCAGTCCGACTTCAGTGGGCGTGGGAGGGGCCAGACTGGCAAACGAGAAGCTGATTTGTCCGTAAACGGGTAAGTTGTTGCTTGTCATGGTGAGGTCTCGCGTAATCATGGCTGCGAGTAGGGATGACAAAGCTGTCGGAGTAGATTGGAAAGACGACGTACTGTGGTGCTGGGCAGCAGCGATAGCTTCACTAGCAGGAACATTAAGAACCCCAAGGAAACCTAGAAAGGATGAGGCAAATTTCGCCATCGGAGGAGGTATGTATTCACCTTGATCGCGCTTCTTGAATTTGCGGTGGTCAAAGATCTGCAGGGCAATCATGGACGAATCGCGAACAACGCTGCCGCATATCAATGGAAAGGACAGAGGATCAAATTCAAAACATACACGTCGAAGTGCTCATTCCACGAGGGGTTCAAGGACTTCCGAACGATAGGCGTATTGTTCACCTGTTCGCCATCGACACTGAGGACGCAGAACGGATCAGGAAGACCTGATGCACAGTGAGAATATGAGCGCTTATTGCGCGAAAGGCTGACTGAGGAGATCTCGTTTCACGAGGCCGTTGGCGGAGAAAACTGAAGATAGGTTAGGATCACACTACATTGCACGGGCCCGCACATACCAGTGACGCGCATTCGGCGCTCTGGTTCAGTCATTCTGGTGCGGAGTCAGCGAAGGTCAGAGAACTAATCGAGTGTCAACCTGCTGGAGCTGGAGGCTATTGACATGACTGCGCTGCTGCGGTGATCTCAGCTGCGTGGAAGCAGCTTGAATAGGTTACGGTCTCTGAGCGGGGCGCGCGAAGAAGACGAGGGGAAGAGAGCGATATAAAGCAGCCGGTATGAGGCGTCCTCCGACAGAAATCGGAAGGATGGAGACCAGTGACTGAGGTCCGCTCAGGTACAGGCGGAGGCTGGGAAGAAAGTAGAGTCCCTCACGTGGACCGGCATCATGTAGCATGTGGGCAGCATCGCCACCGCCAACTGCTCCGGCCATTCCCGGCGGCTGCTCCGAGCGTTCTTGGACCTTTCAACGACAGGTCAAGTAGCTATAGGGCCTATGACGCGGACCCGCCTTCGATGACCCGCACTTTGTATCAAGAAACAGGACATCATTCGTTGCTGTCCCACAGAACGGCCTTGTTCCTGAACTTGATGATCTGGATATCGCGAGGAGCGACGCTACACACTGGGCGACGTGAACTGACTGCATACCAAATGTCTACCGGAAGCACACGGCTACACCCACAATTACACCCACAATTACCCAGTCGTCACGTTAAACATCTACCATTATCCTCCCGTTTTGGAAAGCCATCAAAGCTCGGCTAGCGCTTGGGCCTGAGGACGGGAGTATAAACCGGAACTGGGTTACTCTTGGGCACTGCTGAACCCTCGACTTGCCACCCTCTCCCATGCCTGCACACTCCGACGCTGATGTGCGGCGCCTCCGCCGTGTTCACCAGAAGTTTGGACCGTTGATCATTTCAACCAATGTCCCTGTATTGCCAGGTGTTCGCAGGTAATGTCGACCCTCTTGAGTTTTTTCGTGCTAGATTTCTGACTCGGGATCCAGCGATGAACCTAACAGCCCTAGCTCGTCGGTCGAACGATCGAGCATTGTCCCTCAGACGGCGATCGCCGAAGGTCCCATCGACGTTGTCTTTCCTTCGGTAGCGGTGCCCTGGCGCTTGCTTCAAAAGCTCGTCAACCATGAATCGGGCTCTGAGGGTATTCCTGAGATCGCTGCGCTCGTCACAGTTCTCCTCACTTCCATCGAGTCCGTCCTCCATAGCATCTTCCACCGCGAGTTCCTGCTTCGACAATGCATTGTTCATACTCAGATTCGTGACACCATTGTCCACTGCAGTTACGAGTTGCGTGACCATGTAGCTGGCATGGCTGCCGGCGATATTCCCTGCGTTAGGGAGAATGCACAAGAGATCAAACGTCTTATTCGGGGCATAGTGGGCCATCTGTTGATTCTCCATCGGAAGGTCGAGGAATTTCATCGGGTGGACATGAAGCCGCTACCAGCCTTACCGATCGAAGAGGCGGAGGAGAGCAATCCTCCCCACGCCGAAGCAAGCTCTACCGTTGCGCATTCTCCTATCGTGGACTCCCCCGTCTCAGACTCCCAATCCCGGACTACAGAAGCCGACTCCACCCTGGGTACAACCGACATCACCCCGGAGTCGTCGACCACCACTGTCTCGGCGGTGGTCTCTTCTGAGGCCAAGTCGCCGCTAGTAAAACCGCGTACTCGACGCCGGGACAAACTTCTTCAGCGCTTGCTACAACTCCGAGAGGACTTTCTCAAGTCGTTCCGTGTCGACTCAGAAGCCTTGGCATCATCTCTGGAGGAGCGGAAAGCTACTGCGCGGCAATCGTTCATCAATGACCGAGTCGACCCAGGTGGCAATGGGGAAACTGTCGACATGCCGCTGCCCACGGGAGCTGCCGTAGCCATATGCTTCGACCAAAACGGTGATGTTCGGGCCGCCTCACTGACGGCTTTGGTCCACATCCTCACTTCGCATCACGTGTTCACCATGGACGAAGTCTCAGAGACGTTCTTTCTCGCCTTCCGTCTGTTCAGCTCGCCCCAGGCAGTTCTTGAGGCGGTTCAAGAGCGCTGGGACGAGCAGCCACCCCTGCCGCTGGACCAGCTGTCTCTTCCCCAGCAGCGTGTTTGGCTCCAGCAGAAGACCTACGTCGCCAACTGCATCGCCCAACTCATCCTCACCTGGCTGGATGACTACTGGCGACCAAAGTATGACAAACACATGCTGCCCCAGCTCTCCGAGTTTGTCAAGGGGAAATTCCCTGCTGCTGGCATCCCGGCCCCCGTTCTGGGCCTTTTGCAGGATGCGCTACACCGCGCATCGCAGCCTGATTACAACCCTCGTCGGCAACGCACCTTCGACACCGAGCGCGATGGGCCGCCACCTCCCCCGCCGGATTTCTTCTTGCTCGTCACACCGGACGACGATTTCGGCGTCAGCCTGTCTTGCTTTGATGCGCCCGGGGGCAGTGAACAGCTTGCTGTCGAGCTCACGCACAAAGCACATGGTTTATTCCGGGCCATCGACATCGAGCCCACAGTCTTCAAATGGGTGAAGAACAGGCGTGAAGAACAGCTGCAACTCATCGTAATGGAGGAAACTATCCTGGTTTGGGTTGCGAACAGCATCTTGACCCTCGCGAACCGCACGGCCCGCGTTCAGCGTATCGAGTTCTGGCTGGATGTTGCTGCAGTCAGTCTTTTCTCCTCTTCAAACAGCTCTACTTGACTGACACTCACCATAGAATTGTTTTGGCTTGCGCAACTTCTCCACTGCATCTGCGATATTCGGTGGCTTGGTTCTGTGGCCGGTGGAGCGATTGAGCGTGACAATTCTGGCAAGTTTTCGTCGCCGTCTCTCTCTTCCATCCAATCTTATCTTGCGCAGAATCTTTCTATTAAGTCCAAAGAGCAGTACCGTCTTCTCAGCTCTATGTACGACAAGAACTTTGCTGCATATCGCCGGGAACTAAGCAAGAGCACCGACTGCAAGCTTCCTGTCGTTCCCCTCATAAGTAGTAACCACCGCATCTCCAATGTCTTGAGTCTGACATCGTTTCGTTAGCTGCGTTGCGCCAAGATGTGATCTCAGCTTATGAGCTGTCGGACTTGACGAACGAAGCGGAGAAGGAGCTCATCCATTTTTCCGCCTTCAAGATATTGCGGCGTACTATCCGCTGTGAGTCATAGGCCTGACTCATTAGTTTATCTCTGACTGAAGGCATATACAGCGATGGAAGCATCCATGCTCCCATACAATATCCAGCCCCTTCAGACGGTCCAAACATTCATCCAACAGCAATTGGACGGGTACCGAAGTCACGATGCGTTTTTGAATACATTCGATGCAATGAGGTTCGTCAGTTCTGATATTCGAATGCTCGACTGCTGATTGACCGCCGATCGATCCAGTCTGCAACTCGAAGGACGCGCTCCAGCTCCAATACAGAAAGGGCGGGCGTGGCTGCAGACCATCAAGGGGTCTCCCGAGTCGGGGCAGTTTGCTCTGTTTGAGCTTCCCGATCCGCGCACGGCTTCTCCACCGAGCTTCATGCAGAAGTTTGCAGCGTTCCTCAATCTTCGCCGATCTGGTTGAACGACGCCCGTGTGTCGGTTCTGCTCCCCCACATCCATTTTATGTTATTCATATGTTTATAAACCAACCATGTACTGTTATGTCCATTCTTCTATGCAATCGTATCTGCTAGCAGCTCAGTGGTCAAAACATCACCCATACGTCAACAAAGGCGCAGGACGACCCCATCGAAGTCCCGTGGCAAAGCGTGGCCTGCCGCACAGGTCGAGAAGAGTGATCACAACTAGAGCGATCGGCATGTTGATAAGTTCCAGAATCCCAGTATACCGACCACAAATCAAACCAGTCAGGTCAAGTTCAAGGCGTCCTCTGGTAGGTAAACACGGACCGTCAATTTCTCTACACCCGTAGTTGATGATTGCAATGGCGACCGATGATACAGAAACTTCGCATCATAGCATGGGGCATAGTATTCATGAGAATGCATGACGCAGAAAGAAACTACACAGAAGATCGGGAAATTACTCGCGGGCAGCCTCGATCCGCTTCCGTGCAACCTGTCTCCGGTTCAAGCCCGCCAGGGAGGTCGACTTGTCGGTGGCCTTCTCCACCTCCGTCTCGGCAGCAGCAAGGATGATCTCAATGTGTGTCGGGTGGCCCTGGTAAGGGTTGATTCGACCGTGGGCACGGTAAGTGCGGCGGCGGTTTTCTGCAGTACATCAGCGGAATGCGACGAAGAGCGGATCGGGCACGTACCGGGGCTTGCTGAACAACGATGTTTTTGATGTACAAGTCCTCCAGCTCCAAGTTTTTCGCGTCAGCGTTCGATTCGGCGTTCTTCAACAGGCGCAAGATGAACTTGACGGATTTTTCGGGCCAACGACCTGAACGAAACAATGGTTAGATTTCGCTAGCCGAGACAGATCTTGACACACCTTGCGTCGCCTTGAACTGCTTTGCCTGGCTAGCCCGCCCAACACCACCTGCGAAGCGCCTGAAGGGATGATCTGCTTGTGCTCCTTGACATCGGCCAGGTAGGTGTACGCCTTGGTGAGCTTCAACCTTCATAGCCGTAAGAATCGGTCACAGCTACTCTCGAGTCATCACTTGCCAGAAAGAGCGGCGGCGACTTCACGCATGTTCTTGAAGTGCGTCCGGAGGTACTCACCCCGTGCGCGGGAGGCTAAAGACATAGTATGAGCCACGATTGGCGTTCGAAGAATGGGCATGATTTACTGGTGGCGGGGTTGGTGGCGAGGGCGGCTCCAGCGTAACGGACTGCATATCTCGTTAGAGGGCGAGTGTGGGTCGGCCGGTGGCGACGACGTACCCATCGTGTGTCTTGAGGTGCTTCGAGCAGATTTTTGTTGCAATCTGTTTACTCCTCACTGGCGACGGCCGAGCCTTGAAACTATCCATAAGCACGTGAGCTTCCGTGATCGGCACATTACTCCGAATCATTCCGGAAGTAATGCCGATCTCCGACATCCGGTGGCAGTGCGGTCGTCATGACATAGATTGACATGCACATGACCGTCCAGTATCCTCTCATAACGCGGTCAGGCGGCGACTCACTGCAGGAGGGCACAGGATGCCTTCCTTTTTACCTCTTCACTCCTCGACGGGATCTCACACCACGTCCTCCTCTACCACTCTCACGAACTTGCGCCCGATGATACGACGGATGCAGATGCGAAATCCACCGTATGATCTCGCGCGAGCGGTCGATGCGTCAACTGAAGCCAGATACAGTTGGATGCTCTCAATGAGCAGCTTGTCGTGCAGAATCGAATCAAGGAAGGGGCGCAAAATCTCCTGAATATGCCCACTATCACGGTAAGCACGATGATCAAGCT